GAGCAGTGGTTCTCAACCTTCCTAATGCACGACCCTTTAATACAGTTCCTCATGTTGTGGTGACCCCCAACCATAAAATTATTTTCGTTGCTACTTCATAACTGTAATGTTGCTACTGTTATGAATCGTAATGTAAATATCTGATATGCAGGATGTATTTTCATTCTTACAAATTGAACATAATTAAAGCATAGTGATTAATCACAAAAACAATATGTAATTATATATGTGTTTTCCGATGGTCTTAGGCAACCCCTGTGAAAGAAAGGGTTGTTCGACCCCCAAAGGGGTCGCGACCCACAGGTTGAGAACCGCTGCTTTAGGGGCACATGAGTTAGCCGGCTTCTGGCCCCAGCCAGCCACTTGCAGACAAGGAGCTGGAGACGGGAAACTGCCCAGGTGGAGGGCCTTGTTCAGCTTATCCCACTGTGTTGTCAGCCTCTGACCTCCTTTGCCTGGGACTTTGGACCAGGCCCCTGGGCCCTCTGAGCACAGCGAGGCTTCTCTGTAGAGCAGCTGCTCTCATCCCGTCCTGTGGATCGTTGCCGCAGCTCCGGCTGAGCTGCCCGCGTGTGGCTGCTTCATCCCCGCACTGCCACAGCGCGGTGAGTCCCGTGACCTTTTTAACAGGAGGACTTACGCTTGTCGTCCTTCCGCTTAGAAATCTTCGAAGACTCCCCTCGGGCTGCAATAAAAAGATCAAACTCTGCAGACAGGATCTGAAGCCGACTGGTCCCTCATCCCTTCCTCACAGCCCCTGAGCCCCCACCTCCCACCCCCACAAGCTAATTGAAGTTTTCCAGATTCGCAGCAGTTTTCTGCTCTCCCCTCCTGCCCTCCTAACCGGGCCCACTCCTCACAACCTTCAGCACTCAGCCCAGGATCCGCTCCTCCTCCACCTGGGGTTTGCATCACGCCCTACATTGATTATCTGTTATTGTGTAACAATTACCCCAAAGCTTAACGTCTTAGACAACAAACATTTATCACCCCACATGGTCTCTAAGGGTCAGGTAACCGGGACCAGCTCAGCTGCAAGGTTCTGGCTCAGAGACGCTCATGAGGTTGTAGCCAAAATGTTGCCCAAGGCTTGGCTGGCTGGAGGACCCCTGTCCAAGCTCACTCACATGGGTAGTGGCTGGAGCCTCAGTTTCTACTTCACTCTGCATAGGGGCTGCTCACAATGTGGCAGCTAACTTTTCCCAGAGTTTGGGGGGCGGGGGCGGAAGGTGGGGGGAGGCAGGGGAGAGAGAGAGAGAGAGAGAGAGAGAGAGAGAGAGAGCCCAAGTCTATAGCTACAGAGTCTTATAACCTGATGTCAGCAGTGACAAACCATCACTCTGCCATATTCTCTTGGTCACGCAGACCAACCCCTGAACCGTGTGGGAAGAGACTGCACAGGGTGTGAACACCCGGAGGTGGGGATCGTGGGGGCATCAGTCACATGTCCCGGAACTCACCACACTGAGTGGGGTCGTCATCCGTCTCCCCCACTGTCTTGGGTCAGATGTTCATCTTGGTGTCCCTGCTACCAGCACGGTGCTTGGTGCAGTAGCATTTAGTCACTGGTTGTTGAATGAAAAGATAAATGAATGAATGCTTTCCCTAATCATCTTGTCAGGATTTTTGTTTATTTGAATTTAAATTCATTTTCCATTATAAAAATAACACGTGCATATTATTTAAAAAAACTAGGAACATAAGGGTGGGAAATGAAAAATAAGTTTCCATTTTAAGTCCCCACATCCAGTCTCAGTGCCTAGAGAGGATGGGCACTAACATTTTGGGGGTATCCTTCCAGAACTTTTCTAAAATAACAGTAGAGTTGTTTTTGGGTCTCATATGAAGTAATGCAAGTAAGAGTGCTTTGCTCATGACAGAGGCCATGGCTGCGCTGGGTCTGACCTGGGGACCCCTCCCCGGTGGCCTCTCCTGCCAGCTGTGAGGCTGGAATCCCTCCACGGCAGCCACACAGTATTGTTACACATCAGAATATTTGCATGTTTTTACGCTGATAAGTTATGATCCTTTGATGGTCTCAATACATAAAACCTAACGTTTACTTAGCACAGGACCCCGTACGTGGGATTATTGGGTCACAGAATCTGAACATTTTTTACAAAGACCACCAGCTGCTCTGAGTTTTCTACCTACACAGTAAATCCCTCTCGCCGGCCTTTCTCCTCAGCCCTCTCTCCTTTGCCAGCAGTCAGGACTCTTAGCTGCTTATACACACACTCTAGCGAGTTTGAACAGTAGGGGTTTCACGGAGAATAATAAATATTAAGGAACTCAGGAGTACTTGGGAGGGCCAGAGAACCTGGCTGGGATGCCATACAGCCAGGGATGCTGCAGCCAGACAAAAATGCCCAACAGCCCCCCCCCCCCGCCCCCCCCCGACGTTTCCAGTGGGAACCACGGCTGCCACTGCCACTGGTGGCGATAACCCTGGGGCTGGTGGCAGAACCGCACCTGTTCTTCCAGACGTCCTTGCCACAACTTCCTGTTTCCCATGTTTGGGTGCTGCCAAACAGGCTTCAATGCATGTGACTGGCAGCAGCTTGGTCAGCTGCCTGCTCCCTTTGTGCCAGGGATTCTGGGAAATGTAGCATGTTGTCCAGGAAGGAACAATATTTCCTTATTGGCTTGTTCTGCTCAACCTCTGCTGGTTACACTTTTCTCTGTAACATCTCCTGCCTCCTTTTTTCTTTCCCTGGTGATTTATTTAAAAAATACATATTTTATTGATTTCAGAGGGGAAGGGAGAGGGAGAGAGAGATAGAAACATCAACGATGAGAGAGAATCACTGATCAGCTGCCTCCTACACACCCCGCCACTGGGGGTCGAGCCCACAACCCAGGCATGTGCCCTTGACTGGAATCGAACCCAGGACCCTTCAGTCCGTAGGCTGATGCTCTATCCACTCTATCAAACCGGCCAGGGCTTTCCCTGGTGATTTAATTTGCTCGGGCCGCTGTAACAAAATACCACAGACAGGACGGCTTAGACAAGAGGGATTTACTTCCTCCCAGTTCTGGAGGCTAGAGTCCACGATCAAGGTGTCAGCAGGATTGGTTTCCTCTGAGGCCTCTCTCCTCGGCTTGCACGTGGCCACCTTCTTGCTGTGCGTCCACACGGTCTTTCCTCTGTGCACACGTCTCCCTGATGCCTCTCTGTGTGTCCAAATTTCCTCTCGCTCTGAGGACCCAAAACAGGTTAGATTAGGGCCCACCCAAGGCCTTATTTTAACCTAATCACCTCTCTCAAGGCCTTATCTCCGAACAGTCACATTCTGAGGTAGTGGGGGTTACGGCTTCAATGTATCTTTTTTGGGGGGAGACACATAATTCAGCTCGTAACACCTGTGTTTTAAGTTGAAGATTATTTCATCCTTGCCCCTTCTCTACCTCACATCAGCACCCGTATCATCAACTTAGATCGCCTTCTCCTCTCGCTGCACCAGCCGTAACCTGTGTGCCAGCAATTTGCTGCCGACCCTACTACAGGGCCGCCCCCAGCATCATCGGGACAGGCCAGGGGCAGGGCAATAGAGAACCCCAACTGCTGAGGAGTCGGAGACAAATCTTTTTTGTTTCTTTAAACATGTCTGCCATGTCCAGGAAAGCTGTTAGCTGTCATCTCACAAATGGGCTCTAAGTGCGGGACAGAGTGGAGAGAGCAGAAGTGTCAAGTTCAACTTGACGGCCTGAGTGCTCTCGTGTGAACAGCTTGATCAGCAGGCAGCGTGGGAACACCTGGACGCAGTAAGGAGCTCCTGTCAGGTGAACTCTGTTAGAAGTCTGATTTCGTTGCCACAGTCAATTCTGTTTGGGTGCAGGCCAGTGCTCCTGAGGTCACTACAGCTGTTGTCTCCCCAGCAGCACTCAGCACACACCGAGCACGGCACAGAGTCACAGCACGCAGGTGTGAGGGCGGCAGGGAATAGGCGCTCGGTGAGGAAATGAGCGAATCAGGAAATGGTCTCTGATTCAGGTGAAGTGCATCTCTTGGTTAGAATCTAGCTCGTATCGGGCTCTGCTCTGGAAAACATGCCAAGAAAGTAGATTCATGAGTGTGTTCTAAATCCATTCCTTTCTGATTCCTCAGCAGACATCCCCCCATCCTCTGGTCTGTTCTAGAAACAGGCTCTCTGCCTTCATTGGACTGTGCTATCCATGGACTCTATGGTCCTTCTGAGAGCTCCCAAACTACCCTGCCTTGTAGGCCTGGCGTGGCAGGTAAGACTTGGCATCCTTAGCACTGCTAGACCATGTGTGGCTTCCGTTTTACAAATTGCCCACATCCTTTGACTAGCAATAGTCTTTCTAGGAATATATCCTAAGGGAAAAAAATCAGATGCAGATCAAAATTTATATGCAAGGATATTCATTGCAGACTTGTTTATAATAGTGAAAAACGAAACAACCTGTTACAAAGGCAGAAGCTTGACAAGTAAACGATGCATCCACCTAGTGGTCATTTAAAAATATGTTTTAGCCTGTCCGGTGTGGCTCAGTTGGTTGAGTGTCCTCTCCTGGTTCCCCAGTAGGGGGCGTGCAGGAAACAGCTGAAGGATGTTTCTCTCTCATTGATATTTCTATCTCTCTCTCCTCCTTTCTTCTCTCTGAAATCAATAAAAATATATTTTAAAAATATTTTAGAGAAATTTAATGGTGTGAGATGATACTCAGCAAAGCTCAACAAAACAAAAACCTAGAAAATAAAAGTATATGCAATATAGTCCTGATTTAAAAAAACAACTAGAAAGTAAATACTAAAAGGAAAAAAGACTAGAAGGAAATACTGAATGTTATCAATGTCTGTCTCCTGATAATACTTAGCAGTGTCTTTCAAGGTTTATAGCCAGAAAAAAAGGCCAAGTAGGAATGAGAAGGCCAATGCCTGGAGAATGGCTGGCCACCTGCACCATGGGACCCCTCTCCCTGGACACAGTGTTGTCCCCCAGCCACCTCACCGCAGGGCTCTGCTGTCTGTCCTCAGGGTCACATTGTCCACAACTGGAAGGCGCGATGGTTCGTCCTTCGGCAGAACACGCTGCTGTACTACAAGCTCGAGGGGGGTCGGAAGGTGAACCCTCCCAAGGGCCAGATCCTCCTGGATGGCTGCACCATCACCTGCCCCTGCCTGGAGTATGAAAATCGACCTGTAAGTGAAGGCCGGCTTCCCAGTTCCTCCCTGCCCCGGACCCCCGCCCCTGCTCCCCCCCCTGCCCCCCGGCCTCTGGTGAAGGGGGTGTGGGTCATGGGAAGAGCTGAGTTATTGAAAAACCTGGTTCCAATCCTGGCCGCACCACATGCTGGGCCTTGGGCAAGTAATGGACCTCTCTGAGCCTTAGCTCCTCATCTATAAAATGGGATAAAAAATGATGCCCGGGTCCCATGGATGCGATGGGGATCCTGTAGGCTGGGAGGCACTGAAAAAATATGTGAGTCATCAAAGCAATATGATGGCTTTCGTCCCCAAGGGGTGCATGTTCCAAAAGCCAGGGGCAGCACCCACCCTACCATCAAAAAAGTGTCTGACTCAATCATTTCTCGAAGGCCCAGTATGTGCCAAGAAATTAGCTAGGCTTGGAGGAGTCGAGGAAGAAAATAGTAAGATCGCTTCTTCTCCAGTTAATAATCTTATTAGGAAAGCAAGTGGTTAATTGAAACACATTCAGCGTTTCAAAGGGTGGTTCCAACATTACTAGCCGTAGAGAGCACTGTATCCGCAGAGGAGGGAGCCGGCTGGGTCAGGTGCGGCTTTGCGAGGAATGGAGACGGGGGGGAGGGGGTGGGGGGGCAAAGATCTAGAAGAGGAGAGAGGCAGACGTTCCAGGCAGGTGGACGTTCCAGTCTTGAGTAGAAGTGCGGGGAGAGGGAGGGATGGATGTGGAGATGAGGATGGCCAGTGTGGCCAAGGGAAAACGCTCCCTGAGGGAGCTGTGGGAGAATGGCGGGGGCCACGTGGAGGGAATGGGGAGCCACTGAAGGTTTTGAGTGAGAGAATGGACTGATGAAAACTGTTAGGAAGACTAACAGGAGGAAGGAAGCTCGGTTCCTAGTAAGATTGCTAGATCCATAAAGAAGGTACCTTACGTCTGAGTGCCGGTCCGGCTGGCTGTCTCTCCCCGCAGCACCTCATTAAGCTGAAGACTCGCACATCCACAGAATACTTCCTGGAGGCCTGTTCTCGGGAGGACAGGGACGCCTGGGCCTTTGAGATCACAGGAGCGATTCACGCTGGGCAGCCGGGGAAGGTCCAGCAGCTCCACATACAGAGAAACTCCTTCAAGCTGACCCCTCACATCAGCCTGCAGTGAGTGCCCGGCCCCTGTCCGCGCTCTGACTGCCTCTGCTGCGGCCTCTCCCTCTGTGTGCGATGGGGAGGGGGCTCTGTTGTTGCTAATTGGGCCTGGCTGCTTCCGCCAACGTGCTTCAGGGCCTTTGGCTGTCACTGCCCTGTTTGTATTATTTTCTCTGCCTGGGAATGGCCCTGCTCCTACGTAACCCTTTGGGGCCTCGGCTGCTTCAGCCCACCTCCAGTTTCAGCCAGGTGCTCAGGGCTACGGCACAGCTCCAGGAACCTCCACTCACCAATCCTGGCCATGTTCGCCCCCTGGTGGCAAGAATGATGTGTTCTGGAAGCAGTTGCATTCTTGCCCTGTAGTGTTCCTCATCTACTCATTCATTCATTCATTCATTCACTCAAGACATAGTTCTTGAGCGCCTACTGCACTAGATCCTCAGGAGATGCAAATGGGGATAAACAAGGTCCCGTCTCAAGGGCTTCCCAGCCCAAGTACATAACCAGCAAATGAGAAAAGACCTTCCATGGGTGGCAGGAATCATTCCACAGAACAGCAGGAAAGCAGGTCGGCAGTGGAGGCGAGAGTGTAAAGTGGGGGTGTATGAAAGGAGTTCCCATCATGGAAACTTGCAACAGCCCGTTTACAGGAAAGACTCCTAACCCCCAAGCAGCAGAAGTCATAGCTCTTTAGTTTTACTACAAAAGCAATAACTGTCTAGGATAGAAATATTAGAACATTTAGATGAGCATGAGAAAAAAAAGATCTAAAATCCTACCTACCTCTCACATTCTGCCCCCTTTCTCTGTGGTGCGTATCGCCCGTTTGCCACTCGCTCACTACCCGTAGGCCCTTTCTCCTACCTGTCAGTGTGATGAGGGGCCCCTGTCCTTGCCTTCCTCCCGTGTAGTGGCATCGTGGACAAGATGCACGACAGCGGGAGTGGAATCCGGCCAAGCCCCAACCTGGAGCAGGGAAGCACCTACAAAAAGACCTTCAATGGTGAGCCTTCCTTCTCGGGGGGAAGTGGAAACCTGGGGCGTGGTGAGCTGGGATGTAGCTGTGCTTGACCAGCTTGTGTTGAGGCCAGAGCTGTCTGCTGGCCAACAGGCTGGCCTGAGATGGCCACGTGTGGGTGTGGCCACAGCTCCACGCAGCAGGGGTGGCCATTGGTCTGCTCTTGTGCAGAGCCCCAAGGCCGCCCAGGAGGTCCACGCCAGTGAGGACACAGCCAGGCCCCCACCCCAGGACGCCGGTCGGTAGGCTGTGGTCTGACTGGCGCTGCCCTTGCTCTGATGCAGGCTCCTCCCTGGTGGACTGGCTCATCTCCAACAGCTTTGCAGCCAACCGTCTGGAGGCCGTGACCCTGGCCTCCATGCTCCTGGAGGAGAACTTCCTGAAGCCAGTCGGCGCCCGGAGCTCGGGAGCCGTGCGCTCTGGGGACCTGGCTGAGCAGTTCCTGGATGACTCCACCGCCCTGTACACCTTTGTAAGTTATGGAGAGGGTTCCTCTTGCCACCAGGGCAGAGGGAAGGGGGCGGCCGCAGAGTCGGGGCAAGGGGTCCACAGTCAGGGGTGAGGCCTCGGGTTGGGGGACAGCTTCACCCCCAGGTGGAATGGGTTTCTCTGTGAAGGATTTTCCTTTTTCCCATGGTAGCCCCCACAGCCTGTAACTGGGACTTTTTGTGACAGAATCCTTGTTTTCTTCCCACGAGGCGGAGAGCTACAAGACGAAGATAAGTCTCAGGGAAGACATTAATCTGAGCACCATGGAGTTGAGTGGCACGGTGATAAAGCAAGGCTATCTGGCCAAGCAGGTATGGCTGCCTTGGAGCGGGCATGGACAGTCTCAACCTCAGGGGAGGCGGGAATTTCCCAAAGGGTGGGAGGGGCTGAGGCTGCTGGAGGCACTAATTATCAGCAGGATGAGCTAAAGCAGGGGCCAGCCGCTGCCACCGGGAGCAGGACAAGGGGATGCATGTGCCCACCCTCACTCCTCCCTCATCCCCCGATCCCCCCACACACGCCCTCTCCCAACCCTGCCCCCCCCCATGCGTCCCAGACACCGGGGTGTTCAGGGAAAAGGTACACACAGTAATGACGGCAACATTAAAAAATGCCTTCGTTCATATGTGTCCGGAGGGCATTGCCTCCTGGGTTGGTGGTTGCATCTGCTGCCTTCTGCTCTCCGAGGCTTTCTGGGGTCTCTGCCTTCTTTTGTGGGACTCTGCACAGCCCCTCCATACACTTTCCAGACAACCCACCTCAGTAGGTTGAAGATGAAATTTTACAGGGTCATCTCAGTGTCTGAAAACTGACCATGGCCACCACTCCTCGCCGTGTTTGGGAGGGCAGCCCTGTCAAGCAGGAGACAGCATGTCACGGCATTTCTACCTGTGCCGGACAGAAAGGCTGTTCGGGAACAGAAGGACTGCGTGATGGCGCAGGCAGTGTCCGCGGGCCTCTGCACGGCCCCTGTGTTGGTGTGCACCTCACACGCGTGTGCACATGCCTGTCTGCGCCACGGACACGTGTGCTGTGCAGCACCATTCCCGTTGTTACCCAGAGCACCTGTGGCTGTCACCTGTTTCTTGCACACGAGGATCCCCATCTGCCCTCAGATTATTTACTTTATGAAACTGCCCGACGGGAGGCCACCAGGAGGGCGTGGGAGGGACTCGGTGTTCAGACTGGAGGGGGAAGGAAGCTTTGTGATCTAGGGGGTGACGCCAAAGGGAGTCATAGGCTCGTCTATATCTTTTCTTTTAATTTTTCTTATTTTTATTAATACCAGGGAGGAAAGGAGAGGGAGAGAGAGATAGAAACATGAATGATGAGAGAGAATCATTGATTGGCTGCCTCCTGCACGCCCCCCACTGGGAACCGAGCCCGCAACCCAGGCATATGCTCTTGACTGGAATCGAACCTGCGACCCTTCAGTCCACAGGCCGATGCTCTAGCCACTGAGCCAAACGGGCTAGGGCTCGTCTATATCTTACACATTTAGATTTTAGCACCTAATTGATCTTCCTTACTTTTCTGCTGCAGAACGGTAAAGTGGTTTTTACTGTAAATGTGTGTGCATGTGTGCATGCAGCTGTAGGTTTGTTTGGGGAACAAGTTGACGCTTGACTTGGTGCCCTTGGGTTCAGCTTCGCTCGTGAGCTCTCAGTCCAGTGGCACCTGCTGCCCCCCTGTCCTCCTTGTGTCCTGAGGGGTGTCCGGGAATGTCCCCCTTTCCTTCAGCGCTGACCCTTCCTCTTCGGCTCTGTCAACACAACTACAGGGGACAGTGTTTTTGCTAAGTGTCCCTGAGCAGGGACCTCCATGACACATCACTGCCAACCTTGGGCTCCGGCAGGCTCTTCTTAGAAAGTGGTCCCATGGAGCCAGCGGGCTTGGAGGTTTGGCATTCGATACAAGGAAGTGGGAGGGAGGGACTCAGAGCTGTCACCCAGCAGCCTTGGCCCTTTCTTGACCGCAGGGCCACAAGAGGAAGAACTGGAAGGTGCGGCGCTTTGTTCTGAGGAAGGAGCCGGCGTTCCTGCATTACTACGACCCTTCCAAAGTGAGTACCGTGCGCTCACTTGGTACCCGGGTGAGGCTTCCAGATTCTTCTCTCCCAAGCATCCCAGGCAGCTGGCTCCACATCCTTCCTTAACTCAGCATCCCTACCGTAACTTCCGCCACACTATGCCTTTCCTCCCACAACCCAGCTACTCTTAAAAGGGAGGGTTGCTCTTTGATTTCATCACGTCATTGCCTGCTCCGCGGATCTTCATTATTTTGTGAGGAAAAGCATCTTTTAGTCTCTCCAAAGCTTGCCACGTGGCTGGGGAGGTGAGGGGCTGGCCGACGCCAACCTGGTGCTTCCCAGCTCTTCACCCCTTTCTCTCCACAGATCCCAGGGATTCTGTTCCCTCAACCTCTTGTCTCCACCAACGTTTTGCAAACTTTCTTTTACTATTTAATATTTAAGCCATAATTTATTAATTTTATTTTATTTTCTAAATGATTGAAGAATTGCTATTCTGAGTTTCAGATAATACTATTATTGCATGCTGAGTTTATCTAATTTCAGTCAAAAGTGAAGAAAAATGGCTTTTCAGGCGGCCTGTTCAACCTTGACTTTGGAAGATGTAGGAATTTCATTCATTTTTTGAAAGAGTGAAGCCTGGGCAGTTCCTCCCTTACTGAGCTTGTCAGGATGTGAAGGAGCGTGAAGGGGGCCTTGGGACCCTGACAGACCACAGCGGGGGCCGAGGGTCAGGGAGGGCTGTGGCCCTGCTGTAGCTGGTGAGAAACAGAGTCCAAACTTCCTCACCGGTGCTTGTAGGTTGGCTGCAAGAAGGCCAAGTTCGTTATACATGACTCTCGCCGACTTCTTTGGCTGGCACAGCTGAGGGTGGTTATAGGCGAGGGTGCAGCTCTTCCCTTTTGTCCATTCACAATTCCTAATAGGTCTCCTTCCCTCTGCAGGAAGAGAACCGGCCAGTGGGTGGGTTTTCCCTTCGTGGTTCACTCGTGTCTGCTCTGGAGGACAATGGCGTTCCCACCGGTAAGGTCCAGCTTTGGCCCCGGCCTGGGATCTCAGGCCTCCCTCCTGCACTCTCAGTAATGCTCTGCCGACGAAGGACTGAGCTGTGGGAGCTGAGTAGGGCTTTCTTAATGAGACCATGAATGGTGTGAGTTTTGAAGCCAGTTTCAGAATTCGAGAAAAGGGCCTGTGTTCTTAGTGTTTTAACAATACAGCTGTATAATCCTTGTCTAATACTTTCCCCTCAATTTCTCTGTTTACTGGTCCATAAGCTTCCACCTAAGAATAATATTAGCTTACACAGTGTTTAAGGGTTAGGGACACACTTTATTTATTTATTTATTTATTTATTTATTTATTTATTTTAAACTTTAAAAAAATATATATTTTATTGATTTTTTACAGAGAGGAAGGGAGAGGATAGAGAGTTAGAAACATTGATGAGAGAGAAACCGATCAGCTGTCTCCTGCACACTCCCCACTGGGGATGTGCCCACAACCAAGGTACATGCCCTTGACCAGACTCAAACCTGGGACCCTTGAGTCCGCAGGCTGACGCTCTATGCACTGAGCCAAACCGGTTAGGGCGGGACACACTTTAATATCTATTGTCACACTAACCAGCTAGGGTAGGAAGATAGTATCATTCCCATTTTATGGATGTGGAAATTGAGGTTCAAAGAAGTTAAACAGTTTAAAGTCAAATCCTAAATCTGTGCCTTCTCTTTATATAAACACTAGAGGCCCAGTGCACGAAATTTGTGCACGGGGGAGGGGGTGGTCCCTCAGCCTGGCCTGTACCCTCTCCAATCTGGGACCCCTCGGGGGATGTCTCACAATCTGGGACTGCTGGCTCCTAACTGCTTGCCTGATTGTCCCTAATGGCTTCTGTCTCCAGCCCGATCGGCCCCTAACCGCTACCCTGCTGGGACCTGCCTCCTGCTGGGACCTGCCTCCTACGTGAGGCGGCCAAGACGCTGGGACTGGCCTCCTCCGCACTGTGCTGAGCAGCGAGACCCCCAGGCCTCACCGCACAGAGCGGCCGCCGGGCCCTGCCTCTGCTGTGCACGTGGCCATCTTGTGGCAGCCATCTTTGTGGTGGCCATCTTGTGACGATGTCGTGCATGAGGGTGTGACGCCACTAGGCTTTTATTGTATAGATACTAAATTCTTTGATGTGAATGAAATTGTAGATCTAGGGTTAGCATAGGTAGCAGGCCACGAAGGCTTCCAAGAATGTCCAGACAGCTTGGCCGGAGTGGCTCAGTGGTTGAGCATCGAACTGTCCCAGTTTCAGGCCCAGTGGGGTGCATGCAGGAGGCAGAAAACCAATGATTCTCTCTCGTCATTGATGTTTCTATCTCTCCCTCTCTGAAATCAATAAAAATACTTTAAAAAATTGTCCAGACATACCACTGGCAGGCCTTAAGGCACAGGCAAAGGAGAATGGGAGGGAGGAAAAGAAGAAAGCACCACACATCTGGTGGGATTCCCTAACCATGTACATTTGTATTTAACAAATACTTCATTATTTGTTTTTGTATCTCAGTTGGTTTTCCGCTGCTTCCAGCTGAAAGCAGACATGGATATTTACTCACTGATTTTTTTCTGCCCAGGCGTTAAAGGGAACGTCCAGGGAAATCTCTTCAAAGTGATTACTAAGGACGACACACACTATTACATCCAGGCCAGCAGCAAGGCTGAGCGAGCCGAGTGGATCGAAGCTATCAAAAAGCTAACGTGACGGGGACCTGAGAGACCAGGACCAGGATTCCTCCCACCTTCCCGATGACACTGACAGGGGTTCCCAGAAAATGAGTGTTAATGTAACTTTATTTTGTACTGTTTTGGAGTGAGTCTACTGAAAAGTTTCCTAGATTACAATGGGCAACGGTGCTATTTCCTTCCCCACCTTCATGTTAACAACCTGGAAATGCTAGAACAGCCATTAGGCGTCAGCATGTTGACTTTCGCCAATCATCACAGCCGGCCATTCCTTGGACACCAAAGTAGGTTTGCCTTATAACACTAACTGGCCACATTATACTTCTAAATAAAGCTAGTCTCATGGCACTGCCTCTGAAATGCTGTCAACAGCTATTAACTCCTTCTTTAGGATTAATAAAAATTGGCATTTGTTTCTGGCTATTAGAATTCCCTTCCAAAGTTTCAGTTTTCAAAGGTTTTTCATGCTTGAGACTATAGGAAGTAAGCGAGGTGATTATGAAGACACCTCAAATGATCTCTGTGACTAAGACATGCTTCCTTGCAAAGTGGGATGGTGGCAAAATTTTGCTTGAACATTCATAGAATATTGTTTTCCTTTGAAAAATAAGCTTGCATTAAGTATTACACATCACAGAAAAAGCATGGACTCAGTTGAAGAGATTAGTCACACATACTAAAAAAAGGGTAAAATTATAGCTTTCCTGTGGAAAATACCATATAGAAAGAAGCAGAGCAGAGCTCTCTAAAGGACAGAGAAAGATATAAACAGGAAAAGAGTTAAATCAAGGCATGAAATATTTGGTTTGAAAGTGAACATTGAGACAAATATTGTTGGAAGGTTAACCTGCAGTAGTGAAAAGTCTGTATCATACAATTATTTTAAAAAACATTTTTATTGCTTTCAAGTTCATACAGTAAACTGGCACAAGATACTGCCAGCATTCTTGCTTAGTACAAGTACTTAGACTTCCTTTAATGAATAGGTTAAGATCTGTAACTGACACTTAGGGGGACTAGATACTTCCGAAGTAAACATTTGTCCTTGGTTTGAACTATTCTCTTAATTTTTCAACTATAATACTTCACCTGAGTGATCAGAATTCCAAGCAAATGAGGTTTTACTTCATTCCTTAGAGCACCATTTTCCGTTTGGCATTTTACCAGGTCTAATGTCCCTGGAATTGGTTTATTGCTTTTGGGTTATCAACAGGTTATCAACAGTTTATCTGAATTTGACTGTATTTGGTTTGATGGCTTCTTGTACAACTGTACCACACTGCGTAGGACAGAGTCCTCACGCATTTAAAATAGATGACCATCACCTTGAGGCAAATCAGGGAACAACTCTTATCAAGGTACTAGTATGTTAATTTTTAAAATCCTGAACCATTTGAAGTCAACTGTTTTTGATGTCAAAGTAGCTAAATCGAGAATGTTTGAAAGTCTACCAGCTGAGTAATAACTGTATTGCTAAGCACAATGTAGTGCTTAGCATGTCTCTGTAGGTTCCCACTTAGAATTATCCAAAGTATTCGTTTGTCTTGTTTTGGTATAAAAGATAAAAAATGGTTTGAATGTTTTTTGTCAGCCATTCTCAATTAATTATGCATTAAGAACCAAGCTATTGCTAAGGTTCAGTTTTGAGTTGATAACCACTTGACCTCAGTCCAAAGCAGAACAGGAAGTAGATGAAGTCCAATTTTAATGGAAGAGGTTTTTTAGGGGGAGATCCAAGATTTGGATAAACTGGTCACCACTTGCCTTTGAAAATCTGTTGCTTCAGTTATCTGGAGCTGGGTGTGTTATCGTGTCCTTTAAAAGTGATACTTTTAGGTCAGCAAGGTATATGTATGCTTTAAGTTTAGTTATTCTATCACTGAGGTATCAATCTTTTCTCTGGCAAGGGTCATGAATTTGCAACTATTGTGGAACTGAACAAAAGGCCTGCATGGATAAATTCACTCACCATGAAGGCTACCAGCATTTCTCATTAGTTTTTGAAGTATAAAAATATTCAGTAAACAAAAATCCAATTCCCTGTGGATAGCAAACATTTAAGGAGCACCTGCTATATTTTGATGACATCTGCTGTGAGCTTTACAGACTTTTTTGACTCCTCAAAAAGACCAAGGTGAAAATTATGTGCTCATTTTGAATATATCCTGATTTTCCTCTAAATATTCCCAGTACGGTATGCTAGCTAGCAACCATGGCTCCCTTGTGGAGATGGCTGTATAAAGTCAGCCTTTGGATTGGGACAACCTTCACATATGGCACAAACTGTCTCATCAACACTATTTTCCAGTCCCTTTAATATTGAATCTAGTCCTGGATTGATGAAGGTGGATACAGTTTCATTTTCTAAGTATTTAAATGGCTATTCGTCAGAATAATTTAATAAAATTAATATATCTAGTACCTCAAGTACACGGAGATTAAATCTACAAAGACCTAAGTAACTCAAGACTTTCTAAACCCTGGTTATTGTAGCTGTAAGTTCAAACCATGTGTTTTCTATGAATGAATTTATTTACCTTTAAATTTATATACCTTTAAAATAACTAGTTCTTAAAGATAAAAATGATGGAAATGTAGAAAAATCATGGCAATTGTGTTCAAACAGATCCCTATTCCGTTATAAAGAAAACTGAAGCTCTCTAGATGACACCTAGTGAATATTTTAATGGGGGGAAAAAATCTCAAGTTGGGCGATGAGACTCAAAATAACTAAAGCAGCAGCATCTTAAAAAACAAACAAAATAAAACCAACCTTACCACTTTGAATTACAAACTCAGGCACGCAGCTTAGTACACCAACCAGGACCAGTGTGAAATTCTCCCACATATATTTCATCAGTCTCAAAGACGTAAAAGGCACACAACCAATGTAATCCTTTAATTGCATTTTAAGGCTTTCCCCCTTAAGAATTAACTTTCACTGTGGTTCAAATTATTTTCTCTAAGCCCTCCTTGTTGTATAGATCCTTTGAACACCTGCCCTTATATTTCTACAGCTAGACTAAAATGAATAGAATTAGGGTCTTAGTAATCATAATGGTTTTAACTGGTGACAAGAAGGAAGAAGCCTATAGTTAAATATCCCAGAAATTTATTTAATGTTTGCTTGATACATTTATATAGAAAGGTTGGGACCATTTGCTTTGGGTACCCCTGATAAATTACACAGAGGCACTGAACTACAAACAGGTGTCAATCTAGGGACATCAGAAATGGAAAGCCCAATTTTGACTGTTCTTAGTTTAGAGATCTGGCTCTAGTGAAATTGGGCCACTCCCTTAAAAAATGCTCAATGTGATGGAGTTACTGTGTGAAAACAGCTGGCATTTTAGGACATTTCACGTTTTGGTCTGTTAGAACATTTAAATACTTGGAAATAAAAAATATTCAGCTGTGAAGTTTTCAATACTGGAAAACTTTTAAGTCTAGGGTTTATAGCCAGGAAGGGCTGTTTTGTGTTCCTTAAATTGGACTTTGTTTCCCAAAAGTTAATCTTCAGCTTTGGCTTCCATTTCTTCTGCATCATCATCTCCATCCACTTCTGCATTTTCTCTCTCAAGCCTTTCCAGCTGCCTTGCAAGTTCGGTTTCATCTGTATCTGTGACCACTTTGGGCTGTGGAAGCAGAGGCATAATTTCAAAATAAAGTAGTCAAATAGTACACAAAATTGAATTTCAATACTATCACTGCCTTGTATTAACTCTTAAAGACACTTTTCTTAACAACCCTGATGCCGTATCTATTCATTTCTGAGTGCTGACATATCACTAATAAATTCCATTAGCTCAATAATGGAAGAAACTTATGAGGATAAAACAGTACAGAAAAAACAAGTATGTGTGTATTAAAACAAAGTACTATTTTCTGTTATTTTTACAAGCTAAAACTGAAAATATATGAAAATAATCTGTGGCTATATCTTTCAAACCCAAAAGACGTCCTATAAAAATGCACCTTCTAGGTTCAAAATAAATTTACTGTTCTGTTGCAGAGAAGACCTATTATCGTGTGTGTATATATAATGTGTTAAATATTTTTATACATAAGAAAATTAGGTTTTATTCCTGTTGAGATGAGGGAAATAAAGGCAATTATACTTATTTCTAATTCTGAGATCAAATTTCAGTGTTTTCATTAAATTCTGACAATAATCAACCACTAATTTTCATCATCTATTTTTTTCCCTTGGCTAGGCGGGTGACAGCAGGACACCTAACAACACCGGTGACCATAGTTCTCAATAAATATCCCATGATAGTTATTTACTTATAAAAAGCCCTTTTAGTAATCCTCTGAGTCAATAATTATTTTATGCTTAGCAGAGTTGTAATCGTAAATGTACTCATTTTTTTAAGATTTTAGAATGCAAGTCATTTAGAAGTTTTAAATTTATTAAAACCTTTAAGAACAAGGCAAAATCACTCTTAATCTTACCTCCATTTGAACATTGAAGACACCCCTCTTTTCCTCAATCTTTTCTTTTATAACAGCCATAGCCTGATTGAGGACAGAGAGGCCTTCTGTCCTCTCCAGGGTAGTTGTAGTCATTACATACCGAGGAGGAGCTATGAGATTAATCTAAGGAAGAAGATAAAAATTCACCTGTGAGTATACCTATAGAACACACAACTATCAGGATGTTCGAGAATTGTTTTACTAATCTGCTGCCTTAACAAATCTTAATTCTCAAAAGTTAACTACCAATTTTATAGTTAGCAATTTGGGGTAGCCTGTTAAGGTAGCAAAAGCTAACTGATACAGTGATCTAATCAAATCTGCAATACTGAATACAAAAAATGACTATTTCTGGGTGTCTTTGGAGGTTAAAATAACTATAGCCATTGCCAGCATAATGGATAATTTGTCTCTAAAACAAACAGAAATTCTAATTTGGTTCCAAACTAAATAGACAGAAGAAATTCTTCTAAGAGATTCTAAATAACAACGATTCAGTTAATTTTATTGCTAACAAAAGATTCAGAGCAAACCTCCTAAAAATTGTGTGTGAATGAGAATATGTTGCCCTTTTCAAGATTCTATGAGCATTATGGGTACAACTTAAAAAAAAAGTTTTTATTGATTTTAGAGAGAGAAAAGGGGGAGAGAATCATCAATCGGCTGCTGCCTCCTGTACACCCACTACTGGGGATCGAGCTTTCAAACCTGGGCATGTGCCCTGACAGGGAATTGAACCAATGACCTCTTGGTGCATGGGACGATGCTCAACCAACTGAACCACTTCAGCCAGGGCATAACGTTTTATTGTAAAGGAGCCCTCTGCACTAAATACCAATAGGAATCTCTATCCACTGTGACAGTAACAGTAGCTACAACAAAAAGCCTATACACAATTAATCGTAAATACCCCCTGGAACTATCACCAAGAATCACTTTTCATAACACTTGTTATGAAACATGATCATAAAAAATCTGATTTGGCTTAGGTCAGTGGTTGGCAAACCTCAGCTCGCGAGCCACATGTGGCTCTTTGGCCCCTTGAGTGTGGCTCTTCCACAAATTACACGTGCGGGCGCGCACGTATAGTGCGATTGAAACTTCGTGGTCCATGCACAGAAGTTGGTTTTCAGCCTGGGCGAAACAAGTATACAAGACGAGTGTGGATGGGAGAGTTGGAAGGGGTCGACCTCAGCAAACGTACCTCAATCAGATTGAGGACGTTTTTAGCAAAGGCCAGCTTAGGAGTACCCTAATTAAGTTAATAACAATGTACCTACCTATATAGTTTAAGTTTAAAAAATTTGGCTCTCAAAAGAAATTTCAATCGTTGTACTGTTGATATTTGGCTCTGTTGACTAATGAGTTTGCCGACCACTGGCCTAGGTGGATATTTCAGCAGGGAGGGAGAAAACTGACTGCTCACCTTGATGGGCATGGTTTCTGTAGAACAATTCAAACCTGCTCGCAGGGCTTCTTTTACGGCATCGATGCCTTCATAACCATAACAAGCCACTTCGATATCTAAAATTATAAAATTCAAAAGCTTATACCAAAAGAAATGAAAAAAATATTTAGAGGCATAAAAGAAATCAGAGATGTGAAGATATATAAGTATTCAAACACTTGTGAAAGCTTTCATCATCCTTTCAATTAGAAACTAATCCCAGCTACTAACTTTCATAATTAAAACTATCTGAAATTACATCCTCTCATTCACATCAAGCCCTTGAATGATGAAACTATAAGACAGGCACATTTAACAAACACCTTGAATTCTGGCTATGTCTGGGTTAAAAATCACAATTCCAACTTCTCTGTACCTCAGTTTCTTATTTGTAGAATAGAGAGAAGTGTTTTAATACTGAATGAAACAATAATTACAAATTGTTGAGAACAGTTTAGAAATTGTATATACTTTGACTCAGCAATTCTACTTTTAGGAATCTGCCTTACAGAACGCTTATAGAAATGGGTAAGTGTATATGTGTAAGAATGTTAAATTTATAGTGTTTTGTCTAATAAAAATATTGGCACAACCTAAATGTTCTTTAAGAGGGGACTGGTTAAGTTAACCACTCTATAGACTATTACCTAGCCACGGAAAATAATGAAAAAGATTCCTATGCTCTACATGGAAGGGCAACCATGATACACCAAGTGGGAAAAATTAGTTGGAGAAAACTTTGCATGGTATGACCTCATCTTTGTAATAACAAAAAAAGTCCTATCTGAATGTAAACAGCATATATTCCTATACAGCATATGAGTACAGGAAAAGTGAAAGAATATATTCCAAACTATTAACAGTGGTAATCCAGAGACGTGGGAAGATATTTGTACTGTTAGACTATTTTAAAGTATACACTAAAATAAAATAACCACCCCCTTAAAAAAAGGGGGGGGTAACTTGTGTAATATATACCTTTTATGATGATTCAGCAAAATATTTAAGTTCTTAAATTTTCATATGAAAAACACATTTAGAAAAATTTATAGATGTTGATATAGTAACATATTCTTTGGAAGGCTCATTGACAACTTTTTGATACATGCTAAACCTTTTAACATCATTTAAAAAATCATTTACCTGCTCGAATTTTGACAGCCTGTGGGGTCAAACGCCTATTAATATTGTTAATGAGTACTTCCCGTTCATCTTCATTCAAATCTAAACTATCCAAAATAGATGGGTCTCTGATTAAAAAAACAAAACAAAAAAACCAACAAAAGGTCAAGGTTACTTTACTGATACTTGCAATACCAAACAATACCGCAGAATAATGTGTAAGAGCATAGACTTTAGTGTTAGAATTAAGAGTTCAAATCTTAGCTTTGCCGTTTGATAACTGTGTTTCTTTGGCCTTTCCATACCTCAATTTCCAAATGTGTAAAATGAGGACAAAAACAGTGCACCTCACTGGATTGTGGTATTAAATGAAACAATGCAGCATTTAGCAGTATATGAAAAATAAAAAACATCCAATTGATCATTATTAAAGGAAAAATTCTAGAGATCAGGCTAAAGCAAGCAATTTAAAATGTCTCCCTGGCACCCCACTATACTTAAGCACTTCTGTGTAATTAGCATTCCCTGCTTCAAAAAGCTTACAATCTAACTGGAAAAGAAAACATGGAAACATTTAAAAAAATAAAACTACACCCCTAGGAATTATTTCCAGTAAGTGGGTCAGCAAGGGTCTTCATGGATAAAGTAGAATTTTTCCTGACCTTCCTAAGTTCCGCAAGACAGGAACCAGGATCTTAAGTCAATAATATGGCTGCTGAACAAATGACAAATGAAAAAAATAAAACAACTAAAAGAATGATAGGATTCGAATAAGCAAAGGCGGAACTATTTTAAGAAAGGTATGATATATTAAAAAAGAAATGGCATGAGCAAGCACCAGGCTTAAAAACCATAGGTTAAGGAATGAAAGGCAAAGGAATTTGGGTGGAGGAAACTTTCATTCAACTAATACTGCCTACAGAGCAAAAGAAGACAAAGCAACAGAAAATGGACAAATGAGATAAACGGATGTTTCATAGAAGAAACATAAACGGTCAATAAACATGAAAAAGTGTTAAGTTCACCAACAACCAAGAGAATGCAAATCAAGACAAGGTATTATTGTACATCCATCAGTTTGGCAAAAGGGAAAAAAAATCTGAGACACACACCAAATGTTGGTGAGGATAAAGAGAAACAGGGATGCTCATACAATTGCTAGAGGGAATATAAATAAAGAACCAATTTAGAGAGTATTTTGGCAAAAATAAGTAAATTTTAAGATGCAAACAATTCTATTCCTATCCTAGGTATATATCTTAGAATTCCCAAACGTGTACACACAGTATTCATCACAGCCCCTAAGGCTGCCAGAAGGAACACAGCCCTGTCAACACCTTGGTTTTAACACATTGTTTGAAAAAAAGGGGGGGGGGTGGGAAGAGGAGTGGGTTTACCTAAATATCTCTTAATAGAAGAACAGACAAAACATTCTCATAAGAAAATACTACAGAGAAATTAAAATGAAAGGAAGTGAAGGGATCAGCCATAGAACATGACTGGTGGGGGTGGGCAAAGGGAGGGAAATGGGGCATCTATAATAGTGTCAACAATAAAAATAAAGTTTTAAAAAAGCCCTTTTATGGTACAAAGTAGGAAGAATGTTTCTAATGGCTACAGAAGAAATCAGTTATGGCTGTGGTAGGCAGATTAACAGTCCCCGAAAAATATCCATGTCTTAATCTGAAAAACGTAAGGATATGTTATCTTACATAATAAAAGAGACTTGACAGATGTGATTACTAGTATATTAAGAATTTTGAGATACAGAGATTATTCTGAATGATATGAATGGGCCCAATGTAATCACAAAGTTCCGGATAAGAGGGAGGTGACGTGACAATGAAAGAGAAAGAGAGATATTGATTGATTGATTTTGGAAAAGGTGTGAAAATGAATTTTCCCCTAAGGCTGCCAGAAGGAACACAGCCCTGTTAACACCATGGTTTTAACACAGTGAGACCCACTTCAGAATTCTGACCTCCATAAATTTAAGAAAATAAATCTGTATTGTTTTAAACAAAAAGAAATTAACTTGAAGCAGGCATACATCTATCAATTTGGAGAAATCCTGTTCAAAAGCAGCCTTATGAGTAAAAATTCAAGGTACAGAAAGATAAAGTGATAGAATAAAATTTAAAAATGTACTTTCTGAATAAATTTTAAAATATCTAATTTCAGATAGTGGTTACCATTGATGAATGAGAGGAATGGACTGGGAAGGGTAAACCATTATTTCCAATTATCTCAGACATTTTATTTTTTATTTTTTTAAATATGAAGCACACGTGGCAAAGAATTGGTATTACTTAAATCTAAGTAGTCACTACATGACTGATGACACGAGAAGACTGTTAAGGGAAAGGGAATAAAATATGCCACAGGTGAGCAGTAATGGAGAGAATGCTGGAGATGGAAGCTAAAGAGGTAAGGTGGGGCCAGATGATGACAGCAAGCCAAGTTAAGAAATGTAATGACTGAGGAATGCAGGACTGAAGCCAGCAAGGACAGAAATATAAAGCAGTGCTTTAATGGTAATAGCATAAACTCTGGATGGAGCCAGAATGACTGGGTTTAAATCCTGGCTCTACCATATGCTGTGTGAACTTGGACAAACTATTGACTCTCTGCTTCCATTTCCTCATCTATAAGATAAGGATTAAAAGAACTTATACCATAGGTTGTTGTGTGAATTATATAAATATTAGCGATTATAATTATTACTATCTCACCTCCCCAACAACATGATATGAAAAAAAAGTCACATGTGCGGGTAAACCGGAAAGGATTTAGAGAACCAATGAGTCAGCTTGCCACAGGCTCTAACAGTCCCAGGCCCCACGCAGCCATTCTGAGGGCTGAGAGAACCATTGCCTCTTGGCAGCACAAAGGTTAGGAAAGTAACCGCAGCTTGTGGAGCATTAACATTTAGGAAAGAGTGGGAAGTGCAGATTTTGACAGAACTGGAGTCTGGCTGTTAAAAGGAGAGGACACAGTGCTTGCTCAGGAGAAAGTAGACAGAATTTGTTTTTTTTTAGTGTAAATGGGAGAAATCAGAACATACTTTTATGCTGCTGGAGCAAAAACAATTAAGGGAAAGACCGAGGACAAGAGACGGAATAACAGATGGAAAGAGGTCCCTGAGCAGTAGCTGGGCATCGGTGGTAAGATTAGTTTGAGAGCAGGAAGGATAGGAATTCCAGTGTGACAGGAGCTCAGGAAGGAGTAATGACGGGTGGGATGAAGATAAGTTTGCTGAGATAGTGTAAAGAAACAGAGGAGAAGCTGTGCAATGGCTTCTATTTTCTTTATAAAATAGGTAGTGAGTGCACCAGGTGAGAGTGAGGGAAGAAGGATAGAGTGGGTATCTGAGGAAGCTCTAAAATAGCCACTCGAAGAACGAGAGGAAGAACTACCCAGGAGCACAGAGAATGGGCAGCAGTGTAGGCCCAGCTGAGGTTGATACCATGAATATGCAGGGGCACCAACCTGCAAGACTGCTGTAGGTTTTTCCTATCAGCACCTAGCGGTCTACAGTGCAGAGAAGGCAGGAACATCGATTCAAGACTGGATGTAACAAGAAGGAAAAACAGGGCAAAAGCTCATGATATTGGCAAGAAAGTTCTTGAAATGATGGACCATGGTGTAGCTATGCTGAATAAGAAAGAGAAGGCAAGGAGTGAAAAGACAGAGAGAAAAAAAAGGTTTGGAATCAAAGCCTGACATAAGAATTAAGAGGACACAGACTAGGACTAAGTATGTGGGAGCTGGAAAGACAGGGGCTGTGGAAAAATATAGAATGTGTGAATTAAAGAGCAAATCCTGGTGACAGTAGATACAGAGTGAAGCCATATGGAAGACTGGCTAAAGTGGCATGGGCTGAAGGTCTAAAGAGTTGTGAGGAAAAAAAACCAAGAGGTTATAGTTTTAGATGAGACATCTACATTGGCTCTGAAGTTACCTAGGACAATAAAAAAACATGAGAAGGAAATAGGTAAGGGAGTAGCATGAGATGAAAGCATATGGTTTATGAAACTATATAACTAATATAAGAAATTATAAGTCCTGGCCTGGTAGCTCAGTTGGTTAGAGTGTCATCCCAATATGCCAAGGTTGTAGGTTCGATCCTCAGTGAGGGCACATACAAAAAGCAACCAATGAATGCTTAAATAAGTGGAACAACAAATGGATGTTTCTCTCTCAAATCAATAAAAAAAGAAATTACATAGGCTTGGCTATACAGGATTGGCTCATATGATGGGCCTTTTATACTGAAACATTTTAATGTAAATTTCTACTATTACATGTCAAGTTCTCAACTTGCATGCTAGACCCAGCAGCTGTGATATAAAGGTAGGAGGAGAGTCAAAAAGATGTTCTTACGAGACTGCATGCTTAAATGCATCATAGGCCCCATATCCGGGTCTCTTGTACTTGTCATCAAAGACCCAAGCAGTCCTCTGGAACAGGCTTTCCAGTTGCTCATCCTTGGTGTACTCTAACACCTCAGCAACGTGACGAAGAATGCTGTAAACCTAGAAACAAAATGAAGGGCTCAACAATTCAAAGAGTAAGAGATCTATTAAAAAAATAGGTATTTTTACACTTTACTAGATAGCATATAAAAACAAACCTTTGGTTAATGTGACTATAATAATTGCTTAACAACAAAGGATCGTCATACAACAAATTCTTTTCCATAGAGAAACATCTGCTTTCCCATAATAATAAACTCAACTGGGTATAACAAGTAGAAATAGTAGAATTTAGCGCCGTAACACTCAGATTACATCTTGACTCTGAGAAATTAACCTCTCTGAGTTTGTTTCCTCCTCTGGAAAAGGGAGACAGTATCTCTTCTCTTTACTGCACAGAGCTCTTACATAGATCAAACAAATACAAATGCAATACTATAAATGAAAAACATTATATGTTTCTTAGATTCACAAACATTTTACAAACCCTTGCTCATTCTTAACATAGAACAGTTGTCTCTGTGACCCTTATTCCAGAATAGGGACCAAAGTCAACTACATGTTATGACAAGCCAAATAAAAAGAGATCACCCATAGTTAATTTATTCCTAAAGTAGCTTAAAAACATTCAGTACTGTTTTAAGAATATTAATCATACTTTGAGATAGTAACACCATGAGATAAAAACACTGCAGTCATACTCTTTTGAAATTAAATCTTATATCATTTTTCTATGTAACACACAACTGGAAATGAAAATAGAGTTACAGAAAATGTAGGTTTTGTTTTTTTGCCAGGAACATGACTTGCTGATTATTAAGCACAAATAGTGGATTACTTTGACTAAAAAAATCTACTTACAGTTTTAGATTTGGTGAATTTATCTTCACATTTGATTGCTTCTTCTGGAGAAACTCTTCTTTTTGACAAATCAATGTAACCTGCATGAAAAAAATTTGAAAATGATTATCTCTGTCCGGATGCCAGCATACCACAACCAGTTGTTTGGTTGGTATACCTACACTTACTCCCCACTAAAATCCTGATAAATTTTGTTTTCAGAAACGCATTTAGATTATCATGTAATTGTATATTCTCTATTACCTCATTGGAAGGAACTAATAATTTTCAATGATCAAATTAAAGCTAGTCAAAAGATTCTCTATTTGTCTATTTTCTGTATGCTTCCCTCCCATTCCCCCTATACAATCTGGCATTAGTACTTTGATCAGAGAAATCTAAAGTCCACCATACTGGAGGGGTTCTGAAATTCCAGGTTGTCTCAGACTGTACGTTGCAAGGCCTCACTCAGCTTGTCATACTGGTTCTTTTTAAATGAACTCTCTTCAAGTTTTATTATCTTCAAGAGCCTTCTGCCATCTTTAATCTGTTAGCCCATCCAGTTAATTTTTAAATATTACACTTTTGATTTGTAGAATTTGTTTAGTTTTTTGTGTGAAGAGTTTCTAATTTCTCTAGAGACTGCATTTTCTTCATCACAAGCATATTTTCCTAATATCCTGGAGCAGTTATAATATCTGCTTTAAAATCCTTATCTGCTAATTCCAACATAAGGGTCATCTTTAGATCAGTCTCCACTGATTGCTTTCTCTTCTATATGGGTCATATTTTCCTGTTTGGCAACTTTGGACTGTATCCTAAATATTGTGAATGTGACAGACTCTGAATTCCTTTATGTTCCCCTTAAAACTGATTTTGTTTTAGTAGGCAGTTAATTTGTTTGTATTCAGAACTATAAGCTGTCTCCCCAGGTGGAAAGCAATTGACATCTGTTTAGAGTATGCCCTATTGGACTGCTTGCAATCCACCCTGTAGTTCAGAAGTCAGCCAGGATTTGAGCAGATCTTATATATAAATTTAGGGGTTCTCCCTGTATCTCTCCTTTCTCTGATCTCTATAACTATTTCCCATCTGCTGTGTTTTCCAGAACTGTCACTTCTGGCTCTCAAGCCATTAAGACTGTAGGTTTCCACTAGAATTTTAGCGGTCCTGCTTGATGCTATCTGTGATGCGTTCAGACAAAAAGCTGCAAAACTTACCCAGTGCAATTCCTTTCTTCCTTCAGTTCCAGCCTGCTTTTGTTATCATTGTCTTTAGGTAGTTGTTTTGAATATTTATTCAGGGTTTATAGCTGTTATTTTTAACGGTTTGTCCAATAGGAACTAATCTTCCAGTATCCTTAATGGATCCCCTCCATAGGACCATCTGCGCGTTGCTTTTTTTTTTTTTAATCTTACCTTGGTCATCTTTCCACATCAGAAGTGTCATGATTTATTTCACCATGATTTTTATTATTTCCTGTTTTTAATGAATACTGTACAAGCAATGCAGCAATGGAAATTATTTTTACATGTCTACTGTATATGAAAATAAAATATATTTGATTGCAGGTGGGAATTTGATTCCTTCTTGTTATATTTTATATAATAAAAACAAAATACAAGATAAGACACCATTCTAGGTCATTCTGGGCCAGTGCTATGAAGACTTATTAAAGTTTAAGGAATATAATAGTCTAAGGAATAAAATAGATATATTTCAAGACCCCCAGTGGATGCCTGAAATTGCAGATATCAAACTATATATATATATATACTATTTTCCCCTTATACATATATAGCTTCTCATTTAAAACCCTTTGAGTGCCAACCAATATCCTAGGAACTATGCTAAAATTGCCAAGGCATTTTGAGTTAAGGCTTTTAAATTTTTTTTCCCACATAAAGAGTGAACTACTAGCATCTAATAGTGACACTGCAGGAGGAGCGCGATAGTGCTCCCGGCACTCTAGGGGTTAAAGGATGCGTTTAATGGCTTTTCTTTGGCATATCCAAAGAAAGTTATACATATGTTGGGCCCATTATTAAGTAAAATAATGGTTACTTCAATACAAGCACTGCAATACCTTGACAGTCAATCTGATAACTGAGATGGCTACTAAGTAATTAATGGGCAGGTAGTTACACAGAGTGGACACGCTGGACAAAGGGGTGATTCATAACCTGGGCAGGATGGCTAAAGATTTCACCAGGCTATTTAGAATGGTGTGCAATTTAAAACTTATAAATTGTTTATGTACCATGGTCCAAAAATGTTAAATGGAAAATTCCTCTGGGAATAAAATTCAAGTTATTTGACCCATAAAAATGAACCTTGGATGTACTAATTAAACCACTAACTTAAGAGATCTTGCTTAGATGGTTAACTGGCATCTTTCTCTAACAACTTTGTATGTAAAAGAATTTATAAAAGGAGGTATTTTGTTTTTTTACTGCAGTAGGCAATTTACAAAAAAAAATATATTTTATAATAAACCATTTTAAATCTGAAAGTTATACAGAGTGGGGCAAATGTAGGGGTAGTTGTTTGTATAGAAAATAATACAATAGTTAATACAAGTATAAATTCTGTTGCATAGTCACAACCATAAACCTACTTTTACCCCATCCTGTATTTTAGATATTCTTTTCACTTACCTTTTTCTTTGTCCACCCTAATGACAACCACACATTCATTCCTGCCAATTCGGATGAGTTTGTTTATAGAACGAATACGCCTTCTGGACAACTCACTAAGAAGAATCATGCCTTCAATATTGTTATATTCCAGCAGGCTGACGTAAGCCCCCATTTCGGCAATGGACCTTACATTCACCATCACTACATCTTCCACTTCAGGAAATTTGTGTTGATAAAATCTACAACTCAGACCCGGCATTCTGCAATTTAAACAAAAGAATCAAGTAAGTGCTCAGTTAAGGTCAAAATAAAGAAATGTGAGTCAATTTTCCACATTTTGCCAATGCAAGAAGTTAGTCTTCTCACTTCTTTAAACTTCTTCAATGATATCAGAAAACAGATGATGTCTAAGAACCAAGCTTTAATTTTTATGTTGCTCCACATTTTTGTAAGGCTTGGGTGATTCTCTGCCATCAGTTTCAGAGGATTCATAAAAATTAATGACCATCTATAAAGTACTCTGAGATCTAAGGATAAAGGTACCTCAAGAGTTAAATACTATTTTACTACCACCACTTCAAGAAAAACAAATGATGGGAAGCATCAATAAACCTACCAGCAAATTCTAAACCTATTCGTTCTCCAAATCTGCTAAGACTGTACCCACTACATAAAAAGGGCAGTATCTTCTTAAGCCCTAACCATATGTCAAATTATATACCCTATAATTTATTATAGCCAAAATCACAATATCACATGTCAGAAAAAATTAGTTTTATTAATCACAAAATATATTAAATTTAACATGTACCCTCCTATCCAAATTTTTTCCTCTTAACACAATGAATTTAATTCACAATTACCATAATTTCTGTTTCTAATTTTTTCATCACTCCCAAATACTCTTCTCTTTTGTTGAATAGGTATACCCAACCTTGAGAATAGCTTTATAGACCTTCATTACCATACAATTCAAGTTTCTCTTAACCTCCAAGCATTAAGTGTATTTAAAACTATTCTCTTTGATCCACCCAACCTACTTTCAGCACCATTCCTTTTATGACCCACAAGCCTGAAATCACACCATAAGTAGAAATATATTTTTAAACAGAAGCTCTCAAACTAATCAGTTGATGATTTTTCATATTTTTCTGCTAACCTTAACCAGTTTACTCTTGTGAAAGCTCCGAAGACAGGCAATAATAGGACCTAAATGCCTATGAAAAATTTACTAACATAGTTTTTCTTCTTTCTAAAATATACTTTTATTTATGTCAGAGAGGAAGGGAGAGATAGATAGAAACACCAATGATGAAAGAGAATCACTGACTGGCTGCCTCCTGTATGCCTCCCACTGGGGATCGAGTCCGCAACCTCAGCATGTGCCCTTGACCGAAATCGAACTCAGGACCCTTCAGTCCCCAGCCCGATGCTCTATCCATTGAGCTAAACCGGCTAGGGCTGTTTTTCTTATTAATTGGGAAATAAGGCTTCCATTACTTGATCTTAAAGACAGGGCATTCACATCCAGCTCACAGGCCACCAAGAGTTCTGCTGCAGTGCTAACTGCACCCACATGTACCTTCCCATTTACACACATCTTCCCACTACCTACATGGTCCTATGTGATCTGGCTGCTGTCTATCTCCCTGAGGTACCACTTTCTCTTCATTTTATAGATGAAGCACAGGTTAAGCAACTTGTTCTGTCATATACTACTAACAAGTGATAGTGTCAGAATTTGAACCTATGAGGTTTGGGTCCACAGTCTGTGCTTATTCATCAGGCAGTATTTTCTCTCAACATTATTGATAAATGTACTACAATCAGAAACACCTTAAACAAAGAGCAACATTAATATACATTTTCAGTGCTGAAGCATATACTACAGATTAGTGAAAACTTTTAGTACTAACCTATCTTATTTAACAACAACAAGAAAATAAAGTAGCACATTTATAATAGTGGTAGAGATGTATTCTCCTGTAGCTTGACATAATAGGAATTTAGCAAATAAAGGGAAGTAGACATTCAATGGCCAGAATTACCCACCAAGAAAACAGCTGAGCTGGTCATTTTATTTTTAACCAGGGCTCTTTTTTTTTTTTTTTGTGCGGGGTAGCGTTGATGACAATGGGACTGTTGTCAAATAAAATATGAGAGCTAAAAAAGTTTTAACCTGGGTATCAAAATAAAATGATGTCATGAAGATCTGTGAAATAGTTTTAAGAACTTTAACATGTGCTGACCACATTTATCAAGTTTCTTCAAATAGTAAAGCTGGTAATTTTGGGAAAGCAAGGCTTTTGATGGTTAAAGAACAAAGGCAATAGTGTAAAAGAATCCTGAAGAGAGATATAAATTCCACAGCTTTAGGAGGTTTAAGTCTCTGCAATATATAGCGTAAATAAAGGAATACTGCTAATATGTCATTCACAGTAAAAAAAAAAAAAAAAAAAGCCGGAATTCTCAAGCCTGGAAACAGCAAAAACTCAGTGTCCTGGGGTGGTGTGTGTGTCACTGTGTACTCCTGAGGCGCCCCACCTCAAGGCATCCTTACTTTAAGTATATTGAAGAGGCTATATAGTCACTTGGCCCACTTTTCTTAAGATTCCAGGTAAGTACAAAAAGAATGCATTTCACAGAGAACCTGCATACCAGTTGGCAGATTTTGAACATATCTCCTTATTTATGCTAACTACAGGGACACCCCCCCCCCCATGAAATTTCGTGCACCGGGCCTCTAGTACAAATACAAGACAGTAAAGGCAAAGAACATATTATTTCCATTTTGTAGTATCTACTATGTACAAGCACAAGCTAAAACCAAGCCTTAGGACATTAAGTAGAGTGTCTTTAACCCACAGAACCTCAATATGTCACAGGACTACAATACCATATGTGTTCTTTGTTAAAGAGCATCCATCCTTCAGAATATACTAACAGCTAACTTCAAATACTCTGCATTGCCAGGAACTTTGCCTGGTCAAAGGGCAGGAAGGGCTTCTTTCTTAAACTATGCATACGGGAGGCCCACACTCCTTTCCGAGGTGAGGTGTGTTGCGTGTTAGAAGCAACGCTTGTGTAATTTTAATTAGACTCGAGTGTTACAGGAAAGAAAGCTTCTGAATGGCCTCCCTGTAGTTGAAAAAGCACCGGTATCTACACACATGGCTGTGCATCTCTGAGATCTTTTGGCATCAGACGCACTGGCAGGACAGCTAAGCAGAAGTAATTCCCAAACTGTTCAAAGACACGGCGTCCAAGTTTTTCCCCCCTAAATAACAACTTCAATCAGGAGAAAAACTAAGATTTCTCTGTTACACCTACGCCCCCAGGAAACAATGTGTGTTGTTTAATGAAAATTAAAGAACCTTAAGTTTGGGGAATAATAAAAAGTACCTCTCAGGCTGAATACGCACCTAACCCTAATGCTCCCTTATTTTACATTTTCCTTTCTATTTAACTGTAAGACCACAGCGTGCAATTCCATAATTCTGTTCCCATCGGTGCCGAAATACGGCAAACCGACAGGAAGCTTGTTGTAGTTTCGAGGAGGGATTCATTCTACAGAAATGCTCATCTCGGGCTTTGAGGCAGCATGAGCTGCAATTTTTAAAAATAAACCATCAAATGAATAAACGACTCATGGACCTTTTAGAACCCAGCTCTTGTCAACACTGTGACCCACCCCACCGGGCCCTCGAGGTGTCCAGCCCGGTTCCCACCGAGAGGTGGTATTTCCTGGGACCGAAAGGAGAAAAACAAAAAGGTCGGAATTCTCCAGCCCGGAAAGAGCGGAGTGCTCGCCGTCCTGGGGCTGGGGTGTCGCTGCGTCCTCCCGAGGCGCCCCACCTCAAGGCACCCTCACTTTAAGGGCACCGAACCCACTCTCCTTCGCCAGGTTCCTGCGCTGCCAGAGGCGCCTCGGGAACACGGGAAGACCGAGCGGAGCCGGCGGCGGCGCCCAGACACTTCCCGCGCCCGGACAGGACGTGCTAGCCCGGGCCTACCCTCCCTCCCTCGACCACCCGGGCACTGGCCACAACCAGAGTGAGGTCGTGGAGAAACCGACCCAGGGCGCCAGTCACCTGAGATATACGTGTGAATCCTATTGTGGGCTCCGGGGCCGCGCTCCGTAAGTGCAGAGATCAGACTCGCTCCGCCTAGGCAGCCGCTGCCGATCCTCTTCAGCGTGCGCCTCGCTCAGTCCCACCGCGCATGCGGCACCACCTCGCAGCGCGCAAGCGCCAACAGAATCGAGGCCCCTCTTCCTCACTGACCATAGAGTCCAGGTCCTCCGAGAACAGGGACGAACGGAGATCACAGGAGGACCTGAAAATTACGCTTTCTCATAGTTTTCTTTAATTTTCGATAAGTAGCCTTCAAGGCGCAGGGAAGAGGTAGGACTCCGGTTCCTTGTCCCTAATGAATAAATCCTTTCTTAAGGCTTCCGGTCAGTCATGAGGTGGCGCTGTGACCACCGATGACAAGCGGAAAAGGAGGAGTGTACTCTTCTCCTGTTCTTTCGCTTCAAGCTCGGAGGGCCCAGCACAGCCGCCCAGGCACTGAAGCGGGAGGGGCTGGAAAGCGAGCCGGAAGTGAGGGGCAATCTCGCGGTGCGCGCGACTCCACATCCGGGCCTTGTCTTCTTCACGTCCTCCCGCCCCCCACCACTCCACCCCGGGTGCCAACAGGAAGCGGAAGTGAAGAATGCGAATCCCGACGGTCTCCTAGCAACGCGAGGAGGGGGTCAAGTGACACAACCAGCTGACTGCGGTAGAAGAAGACGCTGTGGGTGGGTCTGTGGCAACCACGACTGCCCGACCGGGAACCGAAGCCGAACAGTCATCGTCAGAATGTCGGGCAAAGACCGAATTGAAATCTTTCCCTCGCGAATGTAAGTAAAAGAATGACCGTCATTAGGTTCAGGACCGCCTGGCGGGATTCTCGTTTCCTCCGCAGCGAGGTTCCTGATTTTCTGGGCGGATCCTGAGCTCTCCCGGTCTTTCTTCGTGGGTGCAGGGCGAGGCTCCCTGACGGACTCCTCACACATTCCTCCGGGTGAACCGGGCTGGTCAGAGCGATCCCTGCCCAAAGGAACAGGCGCCCGGCCTGCTGGCTTTTGTGAAGGTCCGCTAACCCCATTCATTAATCGAGCCATTCATTCCACCCTCCCTATCGAACCGACACTGGATTACGTAACTGAATCGATGCTCAGTTTAGCGGGGAGGTGGGCAAGCTAACGAGGTTTGATAAATGGATTGAGAAGGGAGGTTTACTGCTGTGGGAAGCATATAGAAGAGACTTCTATGCCAAATTGGGTGTTGAATTGCCCCAGCATGGACGCCAGATCGTATCCCCTTAGTCATTTTCCAGGATCCCATGAAATGTCACCTGCGCTGGGAAGGTAGCCCCGAGTTTCTGAGGCACTCCTCTTGCCCAATGACCATTGCAACTTGTTCAGACTTACGTTAATAATACCCATCACATTGTAAAGTGGACAGTAATTGTTTGCATAACGTTCCCACTGGACCCTGTGCTCTCGAGTATTAATCCACTAGAGGCCCGGTGCACGACATTCGTGCACTGGGTGAGGGGTTAAGGGGGGTCCTCTCAGCCCAGCCTGTGCCCTTTAGCAGTAGGCAGCCCTAGGCTGCCGCAGAGGCGGGAAGAGGCTCCCGTCACCTCCGCTGAGCTCGCCAGCCTTCAGCCCACCAGGGGCAGCTGCTGCGCTGAGCGTCTGCCCTCTGGTGGTCAGTGCACATCATAGCAACCAGTCATTCAGTAGTTTGGTTATTTGCATATTACCTTTTATTATAGGATAGACAGTCCACAAAAAATGTTCCTCGAATGAACCCATGCCTTGGAATTTGCTCAGTTGGGGGCAGCCTTTCTCTTTTGGTCTGATGTCTTTGGTAAGAGAAATAGCATATGGCCCTAAGTGGCCAGTCTAAAGAAAATGTTGAGGTTTTCTCATATGTACCTAACAATGTGTGGAAAGAAAAGATTGTTCTTATTTGCCCTCTTCTCCTTTTCCTTTCCCTCCTTTTCTTTTTTCAGTGAGGAACATAAAGTCAGTTTTGGCTTTGACATTTAGATCTTTTTTTTTTTTATTGTGGTCCTATCTTTTTGGAAGTATTCTGTTGCTTTTCTTCATCCTGACCTTTTTCTCCTAAATAAAAGCTATTTTCAAACCCCAAACCTAGATTTCTGTCTCTGCTTGGGTGGCTACAGCTCTTAATGAAATGAAGGAATTATTGGCTTTTTGTTTATTTTTTTACTTTCACCTACTGGCTTTCTAGTAGCTGTTTGGAATCAAGTGAGTTGTGGGGAAGAGGGCCAAACTCTAGCATAGCTTCCAGCAGCCTACGGTTATGTTTCCTAAATGACATAATCCCCTATTAAAATGCCTGAGAAAGCTCAGAGCCACCAGAAGAATTTACTGTTTAATCTAGCCAACACCTGCTGGTAATCCCTGACCTCCCTTTCTTAGGGCATTTACTGAAAAGGGCTTACAATGATGAATCCTTCATTTTCCCATTGAGATGTATAGGGTGTCCCAAAAAATGTATACGCATTTTAACAACTGATAACTCAATTTTGAAAATGAAATATATTTTAATAAACACTGCCTTTATAATTGTTCAAAGTATATGCGTACATTTTGTTGGGACACCCTGTATATGTGTCTCCCTATAAATTAGAAGTGTCTTTCTCAAAGACCTGAAAATCATTTCTTTGAAATGTAATCAGGAAGGATAAGGCTTCTGTCTGTGAGGATGGAATCCTAACTTCCATAATTGCCAGCAGCGGACACAAGTGGCCCAATCTCATTTCCACTGACCAGCCTTTTGTAATTTTTCACTTCTCTGATTCTGCTTGAATCCCCTATCCCTGCGTTCCCTCATTCTTCTTTTAAAATGCAGTCACCTTTGCACACCTCAGCTCCTTCCCCTCTTGTCAGTGGTTACTGAGTAAAATCAGTTTTCACTGCTTCAATTAATGTTTGACTGTGTTAATATTAGTAGTCAGAATGTTAACATTTTTTTTGTCTTAATTTAAGACTAAGAGGTGAAAATAAGCTTTATTCAGCTTAGAGAAGAAGAATGATAGGTTTGTGAAGGTGGAAATTGCTATTTTAGAGCATCCAGCTTGCTGTTTAAGGGGAAAATCAGGTGCAGGAAGTAACAGCTTCTCTAAATATTTTCCCCAAGGCTTAGCACAGGTACTTTGTCATGTAGTCAGATGTCTTTGATTCATCTGGAAATAAGTTATCATCCTAGCTGAAGGTCAAACACGTTTAAGTAGGGCTGAGCAGCTGCGAAATTTGTAAAAGAATAAGTTTTTTAAAGAGTCAGGTTAGGAAATACACTAGTGACTTCTCTTTGAGATAATTCTTATAATGTTACCCTATGAAATGGGGCTGACATTCACTTAGGCACCAGAGAGAGAAAAACAAGTTTAGGGTGGAATTGAAAGAAATCAGTCAAATCCAGGTTATACCTACAAGGGCTGTAAGCCTAGGGCTGTAAGCCTTTGGGCAGGTCACTCTTTGAGTGTCAAGAGTTACAGAGATGCCATTACCTAGAAGGAAATTAAAGTTAGCCTGGTCAGTTCAATTTTATCAACCAGTTCAACTTTTTGCTATCAAACTTGCTGGAATCTGCAGTACTAGGATTTGACTTACATTTGATCCAACTCTTTCCAAATTCTGATGGTTAGTATAAACAATACAGTATGTTTAATATACACATTGGGGCAGCTAGATGCTGCTCAGGCAGGAAACTGAACCTCCCTCACTTGGTTAATCTTCAGCCAGTGCAAAGGCAGCCCGGATAGCTAGAGAGAGCTGTTCATCTGGTGCTGTTTATAATCTGTAGGGGAGGCAGTGTCCCATGTAATTGGGGTACAGTGGACCTACGGGTGAGCCTCGGACAAGTCCCTGGAGTCAGAAATCTGGTTCTTGTCCTGCTCTGCCTTTTCTTCAGTGAGTGACTGTGGACAAGTTGTTTCATTTTTCTAAGTCTCATTTTCTTAAATTTCAGGATAACGTCTAAAATTCCTTCCAGCTGCAGAATTGTCTCAATAACCTTTGCCCTATGGTAAAGGACTTCAACAATCTAAAAACTTAGCCAAAAGGTCCATTAATACTACTTTGCATTTGGTTATAACACCATTCATATAAAATTATATCTCCTTAAACAAATCACTTTAAGTATCTAAGATAATCTATTGTTGGATCTTATTACCCATTTCCCCCCCATTATTAAATTTTATCAGGCATATGGGAGCAAGAACAGAAATGTCAGTTTCTGCAGTTGGTTTTTTGACTTTGGTATTGTGGTTTCTGATGGGAAAAGATTGAAATAGGCAATAAGGAGACTTCAGTAGCTTGTCACTTCTCAGAAGTCTATTCTTATATATGTCATTTAATCTATCTATATAAAAGCCTAATATGCAAAATGTCCCCTTAGGAGTTCAACTGGGAGACCGGGAATTCAATCGCTCGCTATGACATGCATTGACCACCAGGGGGTGGTGTGGAGCTAAGGAAGGTCCTGGTCGGCAGCCGGGGAAGGGATGCCCCGGCTGGCAGCTGGAAGGCCCTAATCGGCCCTGATCACCGGCCAGGCCTAGGGACCCTACCTGTGTACAATCAGGCAGGCAGGCAGAGTGCTTAAGGGCGACCAGGCAGGTAGAGTGTTTAGGGGCAATCAGGCAGGCAGGCAGAGTGCTTAGGGGTGACCAGGCAGGCAGAGGCGGTTAGGGGTGATCAGGCAGGCAGGCGAGCAATTAGGGGCCAGCAGTCCCAGATTGCGAGAGGGATGTCTGACTGCTGGTTTAGGCCCGATATGCAGGGATCCCTGCGTGATTGGGCCTAAACCGGCAGTTGGACATCCCCTAAGGGGTCCCAGATTTGAGAGGGTGCAGGCTGGGCTGAGGGACCCCTGCCTCTGTGCACGAATTTCGTGCATCAGGCCTCTAGTGTAGTAATAAAAAGTAAATCTACTTTTTAAAAATATATTTTTATTGATTTCAGAGAGGAAGGGAGAGGGAGGGAGAGAGATAGAAACATCATTGATGAGAGAGAATCATGGATCGGCTGCCTCCTGCATGCCCCCTAAGTGGGGATTGAGCCTGCGACCCAGGCATGTGCCCTTGACTGGAATGGAACCTGGGACCCTTTGGTCTGCAGGCTGATGCTCTATCCACTGAGCAAAACTGGCCAGAACAGTCTTTTTTATTTTATTTTTTTTTAGTCAGCCCCATTTCCCAAAGGAAATGGTTACAGTTTCTGTGAATCCTTTCTATTCTCTGTATCTGTATAAGCATATTTACCCTCCTTGCTTTGCATATCTAAAACAATATCATATAGGAAGCACATGCAGACCTATTTTCCTCTTTTTTTTATAACTACATATCATTCCATTATATAATGAACCATAATTTATGGAACATTTAACTTGTTTCTACCCATTTGCTCTTATAAATAATGTTGGAGTACTCATCCATAACCTTGTACATATTATTGTATACCTGTGGGAGTAAACCTGTAGGATAAATTCCTCAAAGTGGAATTGTTGGTCCTGAAGGTAAGTGCATAAATTAGTGGACAGATTTTAAAAAATCCTTAATACACTTCTTTTTTGTTGTTGTTAATCCTCATCCGAGGATATTTTTTCCATTGATTTTTAGGAAGGGAGGAGGAGAGACAGAAAGAGAGAGAGAAACATTGATGTGAGAGAGACACATCAATTGGTTGCCTCCCACACGTGCCCCAACCAGGGCTGGGGATAGAGCCTGCAACCGAGGTACATGCCCTTGACCGGAATCAAACCCATAACCCGTTAGTCAGCGGGCCAATGCTCTATCCACTAAACTGGCTAGGGATAGAGCACTTCTAATGGAAACAGATATTGTTTTAATTTGTAAATCAAGTAAGTATTTAAACTATGTTGGAATCATAAAATAGCACTCCTGATAAACTTTATTATGACAATATTTATGCCAGATATAGATTAAAACGTTGTTCTAGTTTTAAGTAAACTTCTCATTTATGGAACACTTGAGGGTAGAAATCTGTGGTATTGAGAAACCAACTAAACCTGTCAGCTACAAATGCTGTATATATTATTCTGTTGACATCAAAGAATAAAGCATAATTTTAACATTGTATTGGGGAGGTATTTTTCTTTCTTTTAAATAATGGGAATAAGTGTCTTTAACTTTGTTTACATAGGGCGCAGACCATCATGAAGGCTCGATTAAAAGGAGCACAGACAGGTCGAAACCTCCTGAAGAAAAAATCTGATGCCCTAACTCTTCGATTTCGACAGATCCTAAAGAAGATCATAGAGGTAGAATGAACTTTGCTTAGAACAGGATTTATTTTGGAAATATCTAAGGAAAATCCAGCATGGCTGTTGACATTTTAATTTTTCTTTGTTATTTTAATAAATTTTTCTTTCAAAAGTAAAAATACCATTATAAAATAATGAGTTTTACATGGTTCATTTAATAAAGTCCAAATTCCTTACTCTTGTTCTCAAGCCTCACTTGATCTAATCTGGCTCCTACCTGCCTCTTTGACCTCATTTGCTCTATTCTTCCAAACATCCTCCTCTAGGGCCTTTGCATTAGCTGTTTTTTTCCTGCTGGAAATGCTCTTTTCTCAGAACTTCTTATGACTGGCTCCTCTGTGCATTCTGGTCTCTCCAGAGAGGCCATCGCTGATCACCCAATCTGAAGTGACCACTGTATTTACTTCTGTCATGTTTCCTTGTTTTTATCATAGCACATACTACTGCAGTGATGGCGAACCTATGACACGGGTGTCAGAGGTGACACGCGAACTCATTTTTTTGGTTGATTTTTCTTTGTTAAATGGCATTTAAATATATAAAATAAATATCAAAAATATACATCTTTGTTTTACTATGGTTGCAAATATCAACAAATTTCTATATGTGACACGGCACCAGAGTTAAGTTAGGGTTTTTCAAAATGCTGACACGCCGAGCTTAAAAGGTTCGCCATCACTGCACTACTGCATGGTATTTGTTTGATAGTTTACCCCCATAGAGAATGTAAGTTCCATGAGAAGGGGACTCTGTCTTTTCAGCAGTGTATTTTCAATATCTAGAACAGTGTTGGCAGCTAGTACATTGACTCAATGTTTGGATAAATGATGTATGAATACAGTGGTATATAAAAAAGTGAAGGTTCTTCCCATTTCCCCTCTCCTACCCCCAACTATCCTTCTTTCATTTCCCAGAGTTCTTTGTGAGACTCTGTTTTATATCCTTTCCATCTTCTCTCTCTCAGTCTCTTTCTCCCTGAATATCTCAATCTCTTTCTTTGGTAGCACATATTGAAAGTATTGCTTTTGTAAAGCATATACCAAGAGTATGGTATCATGTGTGGCTATATGCCCACACACAGATTTTTTGGTAACAAACATGCATGCAAGTATACACACACACACACACACACACACACACACACATATTTATATTTATATAACATTTTCTGCCCCACTCCCCCTTCCTTCGCTCCATGGCAGAATATGATGAACAGCTTTCTATATCATATAGTTCGGTCTCATTCTTTATAATAGCTGAATGGTACTCCTTTGCATGGATGATGGAATTTACCATTTCTCTATTGATGGATGTGTAGTTTTACCATTTTGTGGGGGAGGGTACTCTTAAGTCCTTATGTGTATGTATGCTAGCATTTTTTTGGAAAAGTCCTAGAATCTCAAGAATCATTTCATTGTTTTCTAGATAACTCAAATTGCTCTCCAAATTGTTATACTAATTTACATTTCTGCTAAATGATTAGTGAGAGGACCTATTTTCTTAAATTCTTCTTAGTTGGGTATTATTTTTTGTTGTTGCCAATCTGTTGTGCTAAAATTGCTATCTTATTTTAATATATTTTTTTATTTCAGAGAGGAAGGGAAAGGGAGAGATAGAACAGCAATGATGAGAATCATTGACCAGCTGCCTCCTGCACTTTTCCTACAGGGGATTGAGCCCAAAGCCTGGGCACGTGCCCTGACCGGGAATTGAACGGCTGGGCTCTTTTATAATTTTGAAAATAAACCTTTACCTTGAATCATTTTTATTTTTTATTTTTTGGTGTGTGTGTGGGGGTGATATGAGGAGGTAGGGATTTAGCTTCATCATTTTGTAAATGCATGACTGGTTGAGTGGTCTCTTTACATTGCTAAATTCCAGTATAGTCCTGGAGCTCTTTCTGAACTCTATTCCATTTCATTGACTTAGTGTCCCAGTACCAGATGTATTTCTTTATAGTTATACATTTTTAATACTTGGTAAAGTAACTCTGTACCCAGTTATACTTCTCTTAAAAAATTATTGGATATTCTCAAACATTAAATATTCCAGATTTATTTTAGAATCACTATGCCATTAGGATTTTGACCGCACTGTAGTGAATTTAGGAGATTAATTTGAGCAAATCATTATGGACCCATTCAACAAAAACATACTCCTGCAGTAAAGATTCAGTTTTCTCTTTCTTAATGTCTTTATTTTGATGTTTTATTTATAAAACGCATGGTTTTGCAACATGATTAGTGACCGTAACTAAACCTGTTAAAGCAAAATTGGAAATTTTTATTTTTTATCATTATCAAATCAATGTTTATATTTACATGCATAACTGACATGAAATACTGGTGGTATTGAAGCTACATGATTATGATTTTTCCTGGTGAAATAACTTGGTTGAATCGGCTGTTGGTTTATACTTTTCCAGACTAAAATGTTGATGGGTGAAGTGATGAGAGAAGCTGCCTTTTCACTTGCTGAGGCCAAGTTCACAGCAGGGGACTTCAGGTAAGAAGACTAAATTGGGTGTTTTGAAAAATCAGTGCTCTATGTTCATACCATTTTAAATTTAAAAATATTAGCATTAAAGACAATTGCTATATTAATAATAAGGAAGGACACTTTTAACCCCATCCCCTTAACATCACCGTCTTTATTACTACCCACATGTATCTGTTACATAGTTGTAGGCACAAGATACTTAAAATTTATGGTTCTTTTTTTTTTCTTAAATACATTTTATTGATTTTTTACAGAGAGGAAGGGAGAAGGATAGAGAGTTAGAAACATCAATGAGAGAGAAACATCGATCAGCTGCCTCCTGCACACCTCCCACTGGGGACGTGCCCACAACCAAGGTACATGCCCTTAGCTGGAATCGAACCTGGGACCCTTCAGTCCACAGGCCGATGCTCTATCCACTGAGCCAAACCGGTTAGGGCTATGGTCCATTTTTATTTAACATTGTATCATAAACATTTTTTCCCTTCTTTTCACTTAGCTGCATAATCTTTCTCTAGATGTACCATAACTTATTAACCTTTTCTCCTAATGGAAGGCCTTTGGGTTGATTTGCGGATGTTTTTTGGTATTAGAAAAGGTGCTCGATCCCCGGTGTGGTGTGTGCAGGAGGCAGCCGATCAGTGACCCTCTCTCCCTCTCCCTTCCTCTCTGAAATCAATAAAAATATATTAAAAAAAGGGGGGGGGTGGCATGACTTTTATGGCTTTTGTCATATCAATATATGCTTTACAAAGCATTCAAAATAGTTTAGTATTCCTTTACAAAGGGGTTTTGCCAATTTACTTGTTATGTAATTCCCCAAATAAACCTGTGAAGTAGACCAGGTAAGCAGTTATTCCCAGCTAAGTTCAGTGCCTTCCTGAGTCAAATGGCTATTTAGGGGCAGAGGTGGAAGTTATTTTCAGGGGCTTTGATTTTAGTGTGTTTTTTTCCTTAATTTTTGTTGTTAATCCTTAACTGAGGATATTTTTCCCATTGATTTTTAGAGAGAGTTTAAGTGAGGGAGGAAGAGAGAGGAAGGGAGGAAGAAGGGAGTGAGAGAGCGAGAGAGACTGAGAAAGAAACAACAATGAGAGAGAGACATTGATGTGAGAGAGACACATCAAATGCTTGCCTCCTGCATAAGCCCTGACTAGGGCCGGGGATCTAACCTGCAACCCAGGCATGTGCCCTTGACTGGGAATAGAACCTGTGACCCTTCGGTGCTTGGGCCAACACTCGAATCAGAGTCACACAGGCCAGGGCTGATTTTAGTCTCCTTTACTCAGTGACACAGTGCCTTATTCTTAGTGCTTCTTACCTGTCTAGGAGCATTACCTGGTGGCCACGTCTCACAGCCTGAGGGCCATAAGGCCTTTGAAGCAGTAGACTAAGTGTTGCCGGTGTTGCTAGGATAACAACTTGGCACTGGCTGTTCCAGGCAGAGGGAGGGAATCAATAGTGTGTAAGTGGTATGTGAGTACCTTAGGGTGGTTATAGGGACAACACTTTACAATAAAAATGAGGAGTCAGACAAAGCCAGATGGAAGTTAGGTAAGTTCTAGAAAAGGAATTGTACTCGTTTTGCCAAACTTACAAGTTTTGAACAGCAAACCTAAAAGGAAAGAAAGCTTTCTCTAAATTACATTAACGGAATGAAAATCCCATGTCTGACTGAAAACTCAAGCGATCCAAATACTATAAAATCATTCTTTGTTGTTTTTTTTTATGACTAATTTTTATTCTTTGCTCTCCGAGGCCCACCTGTGGAAGTAGTGATTTTTGTCCTTTTCTGGAAAAAGACTATTATCAGAACATACTTAATTGTGAAATTATCCAATGGTAGGTTTATTTTTCACTCTAAAAACTCAACTAAACCAAGGCTCCCTTTTCGCCCCCTGCAGCACCACAGTTATCCAAAATGTGAATAAAGCCCAAGTGAAGATTCGAGCAAAGAAAGATAATGTAGCAGGTAATTTTTCAACTGTTTAGATTCCATGGGGGAGAAAAGGTGACATTTTAAAATCAATCTGTTTATATAGCAATTAGAGGCCCAGTGCACAAATTCATGCCCAAGGGGGGTCCCTTGTCCTGGCCTGCGGGATGGGGCCGAAACCAGCTCTCTCACATCCCCCGAGGGGTCCTGGATTGCAAAAGGGCATAGGCCAGGCCGAGGGACCCTACTGGTGCACAATCAGAGCTGGGGAGGGACACAGGAGGTTGGCCAGCAGGGGAGGGACCCAGGGCATTACTGGCCCCTCTTGCTCAGTCCCCAGCAGCAAGCTAACCTACTGGTTGGAGCATCTTCCCCTGTTGGTCAGTGCATGTCACAGCGACTGGTCGACTGTCTGCCCCCTGGTGGTCAGTGCATGTCATAGTGAGCGGTTGAGTGGCCTTAGCATATCATTAGCATATTACGCTTTGATTAGTTGAACGGCCGACTGGACACTTAGCATATTAGGCTTTTATTATATAGGATGTCTGGATATCCCAGTTAATCTTTTCTACTTAGAGCAAGTTGATTGGCTTTACATGTTAAACCCATTTTAACTGATGATTTCTAGGGAGTTAGGGTAGGGAAAATGGGAAGTTGTTTAATGTATATAAAGTTAGGGTTATACAAGATGAACACATTCCAGATATATGCTGTACTGTATAGTACCAATAGAATAATATGGTGGTGTGCACTTAAAAACTTGTTAGGAGAATATATCTGATGTTAAGAGTTCTACACACACACACACACACACACACACACACACACACACAGGAAAAGGACACATAAAATCTTTTGGAGATGATGGTGTTTATTTCCTTGATTATTATGATGGTATCATGGGTGTATGCATATGTCTAAACTCATCAAAATACATATATTAAATATGTGCAACTTTTTTTGTATATTAAGTATATCTCAGAGATGAAGGAAAAAAACCCACTGTAACAACCAGATCCCTTATTACTCAGGCTAATTTAATTTTTGAATAGGATTGAACCATTAGAAAGGCAGGTTCCTAATTTTATTCCTTGAAACCAGTTACAATTCCAGACAATCTGTTGACTTTTTCTGTGTTTAACAGGTGTTACCTTGCCAATATTTGAACATTACCATGAAGGAACTGACAGTAAGTGTCTCTGGGTTCTCTGATTCCTCTTTAAATGAACCTTGTTCTGGAAAATGGTGCTAGATTGAGTTTGGTGGTTCCCATGTTAGAGCCTTATCTGATACAGTTAGGACAGTAGGTAATCAGTTCATCAAAATAGTGTTATGGCAGGGAGTCATTAAACATTGTACATGTCTGAAAATACTTTATTTTAACCTCAAGACATATAAGTGTACAGTCATGTACCATTTTAAAAATATAAGCTCATGGCCTTTCTTTGCATATGAATTCACTCTTTAGACTTCTAGGTTGTCTTTCTGCATAAACCATACCCATAATACATTGTTTATAATTTCCAGTTTGGGTCTCTTTAAAGTAGAAAAAGATCTTAGACACTGATGCAATCTGAATCTCCCTAGAATTTTATAGCCCACTTTCATTTTTCTTTTTTATAACTGTCTCACCATTTCCTAATTTGACAGCTTTTTTGTAGTAAAACATCTTTGTTGAGTCTGTCCAAAGTAATCAGATTTTTTTTTTTTTTTTTAGAAATATAACAGTGCCTTCCTTTGGCACTCATCTTTCATTGGTCCACATAAAATATTTAGTATAGTTCGAATAAAGTAGAGCATTCTGGAGAGTCACCTATTAACAGAGTATCATTGTACTGGGGCATCAGGCAGTGTGTTCTACTAGGGAATGGAGCACGTTGGTTACTCCAGCAATCTGGTGAAGTGGGGGTTGGTTAAACACCTCCTGTAGTTAGAATAGTATCCCTGTGGATGCTGTCATGTCCGATAGTGTCTGGGGAGGGAAGATGGGGACTTCATGTTTGCATTTAATAGAGATAGTATATTTGTTTTTCCATTTTGGCACTGTTCTGACATCTTCTTTTGGGGAATTTGAAGGGGAAGATTATTATTCTACAATTACAAATGTTGTCTGACTGGTTCTTTCAGGTTATGAACTGACTGGTTTAGCCAGAGGTGGGGAACAACTGGCTAAATTAAAGAGGAACTATGCCAAAGCAGTGGAGCTACTGGTGGAACTCGCCTCGCTGCAGGTAGGCAGAGAACTCCCGCTGTTTGGTTTCTAATATTTGAGTGCATGAGATTCAGATCTTGGCTCAGAGTGTCCTGAACTCAGTACTTCAAACTGTTTTCATGGCCCTCTGTGAAACAAGTCAAAGATGTTTTGATTTCTGAAATAGTGACTTCTGCACCATTGTCCCATCTTGTGTTACTAACAAAATGTGCAGTGGTGGTTTCACTGCTAGATGAGGACTGCAGCTTTCAATGCAGGTTTAACACGGTGTATGAGTGAAAAGCCAGGTTTTCCTCTGTGGCCAGTTAATGTGTATCTAGGTCATTTGTGCCTGATTCTCTCCTCTGGCCATTTTTACAACTTTAAGTAAGTCTGAAGTAAGTTATAATAGCATGGAGATAGTGTTAGCTCTATAGAAATCTCACAATTTTTAACTTGTTGAAAGTACTAGTCTTGGTTTCCAAATGTCCTCGACAGGTGCCGTCTGAGTGGATCCCCAAAGGATTAGGAACAGGGCAGGATTAGGAAGACTTTGTACTTACATTTTATTTGTCCTCTGATTTTAGACTTCCTTTGTTACTTTGGATGAAGCTATTAAGATAACCAACAGGCGTGTAAATGCCATTGAACATGGTGAGTGCGAGCCTGTGGGGCTCTTGGTTCATCTCCTGTGCATGCCTCTACATTTGTTGCATAACTGCTAGGATCAGGCACTGACCGCCAGGTGGGACACACTGCCCACAGTGGGTAGTGCAGTGAGTCAGTGGTGCTGTAAAATATTAAGTGCTTTGATAGGAGGTGTATAATTTGGGTGTTAGACGAGAGTGGTGAGTTCAAAATTATGGAATATTTTATTCACTGCTGGTTATACATTTAGAATAAAGAGTGGAAACTATTTCTCAAGAGCTATAGTGTTTTTAGTGCTTCCCAATGACTGAGTGAATGATGCATATTTTTGAACACATCTAATATTTAACGTTAAATCCCTCTCCCTTAGGCCTGTGTCCTACAGAAACAATGTCCTATATTCTCTTGATTTGTGAAAATAAATTTTCCCATTTGATGCATTATTTCCCATCTTTATTATTTCAAAACTGTGACTGCTAAGTATTAATGTAATACTTTTTGCTTAAGAAACTCAGTTTTCATTAAAGGAACATTTTTTCATTTTAAGGTAAGGAGAAAAATTTGAATAGCAAAGAAATTATTTTGCTTTATTAGTGTTAAAGAGGAAGTTACCTCATTTTTAAAAAACTGAAAACACATTTCCTGACTGCTTGCTAGTGCCAGCCCTTGTACATGGAGTTTCAAGCAAAACAGAATGGATAAGGTAATAGTTCCAACTCTCAAGTTGACATTCTAGAACAGGCAAATTCCATGTAAAACAGAACCTTATGACTGACACAAAACACAGCTTACTGCATTCTCTGTGCCTTGATGCTCCACTTTTCCACAGATTGCTGTATATTTGAGTGCGGGAGATTCAAATCTTGTTCAATGTTATATATTCCTTAGGGGCCCGGTGCACGAAATTCGTGCAGGGGGGGGGGGGTTGGTCCCTCAGCCCAACCTGCACCCTCTCCAACCTGGGAACCCTCAGGGAATGTTCTACTGATGGCTTAGGCCTGCTCCCCTGGTTCTCTGCTCTCTGTGGACCTGCCTGCTTGAGGCCCTGGTGTCTGCTCTCTGTGGCAGCCTGCTTGCCCTTTGCTGCTGGGGCCAGGGGCAAGCAGTGCCCTGCTGTCTGCTCTCTGGCTCGCCGCTGCAGGGGCAAGCAGGGCCTGGTGTCGGCTCTCTGTGGAGGCCCTGCAGGGGACTGCTTCTCCTCAGTGCCACGGCCAGGGGAAGGCAGGGCCCTGCTGTCTGCTCGCTCGCTGTGGGGACGTTCCGCCCTGCCCCTGGCCGCTTGTGCGCACGCCAGCTTGGAGCGCCTGGGTCCCAGGGATGTTCCTGCCCCACCCCCAGCCACTCCGTGCCTGTGCGTGTAGGCCCAGAGTGGCCGGGGGCATTCCGGGACCCCGGCTGCTCCGGGCCTTCAGGTTCAGAGCGGCCTGGCTCCCGAGGACGCCTGTCCCTGGGACGCAGGCTGCTTGGTGCTGGCGCGCGCGTAAGTGGCCACCTCACCCCCAGTCGCTTGGCGCCTGCGTTTGCAAATTAACCTGTGGGCTAATTTGCATACCCACTCCTGATTGGCTGTGGGGCGTCATGAAGGTACGGTCAATTTGCATTCTTCTCTTTTATTAGTGTAGACTAGAAGCCCAGTGCACAAAAATTTGTGCACTCGGGGGGGGGGGGCGGTCCCTCAGCCCGGCCTGCGCCCATTCACAGTCCAGGACCCCTTGGGGGATATCCACCTGTCAACTTAGGCCCGCTTCCTGGGGGATCAGGCCTAAGCTTGCAGTCAGACATCCTTCTGGCAGCCAGGGAGCCCTCGGGGGATGTCCGACTAAAGGCTTAGGCCCCCAAGGGATCCGGTCTAACCGTTAGTTGGACATTCTTAGTGCTGCCACGGAGGTGGGAGAGGCTCCTGCCACCACCACTGCGCTGGCCAGCCATGAGCCAGCTTCTGGCTGAGTGGCACTCCCCATATGGAAGTGCACTGACCACCAGGGGGCAGCTCCTGCATTGAGCATCTGCCCCCTTGTGGCTAGTGCGCATCATAGCAATCGTTCATTCTGCCGTTCAGTCAATGTGCATATTAGCCTTTTATTATTATTACTAGAGGCCCGGTGCACAAAAATTTGTGCACTCGGGGGTCCCTCAGCCCAGCCTGTGCCCTCTCGCAGTCTGGGACCCCTCGGGGGATGTCCACCTGCTGGCTTAGGCCTGCTCCCTGGGGGATTGTGCCTAAGCTGGCAGTGATACATCCCTTGGGGGATGTCCACTTGCCAGCGGGCCGAAGCTGCAGTTGAACATCCACAGAGCTGCTGAGGAGGCAGGAGAGGCTCCCACCATTGCCACTGTGATGCCGTCAGCCTGGCTTGTGGCTGAGCAGAGCTCCCCCTGTGGGAGTGCACTGACTACCAGGGGGCAGCTCCTGCATTGAGCATCTGCCCCCTGGCGGTCAGTGTGTATCATAGTGACCAGTCATTCCCAGTCGTTCTGCTGTTAGGGTCAATTTGCACATTACCGCCCTAACGGGTTTGGCTCAGTGGATAGAGCATCGGCCTGTGGACTGAAGGGTCCCAGGTTCGATTCTCGTCAAGGGCATGTACTCTGGTTGCGTACGCATCCCCAGTAGGGGGTGTGCAGGAGGCAGCTGATTGAAGTTTCTCTCTCATCGATGTTTCTAACTCTCTATCCCTCTCCCTTCCTCTCTGTAAAAAATCAATAAAATATATTTGGGGAAAAAAATTGCATGTGCACATTACCCTTTTATTATATAGGATAGAAGCCTGGTGCACGGGTGGGAGCCAGCTGGTTTGCCCTGAAGGGTGTCCCAGATCAGGGTGGGCAGGGGACCCCCAGCTCCCTACGATCGCCCACGCTGCCCCTGCTCACGATTGCTGGCTCTGCCCATGCTCACGCCTAACACCTCTGGCCAAGGCATTAGGCCTGGGCAAGGGACCCCCAGCTCCCCACCATCGTCAACTCGGCCCCTGCTCCCTGCGATTGACCGCTCCGCCCGAATGCCTCTCACCCAGGCATTAGGCCTGGGCAGGGGACCCACAGGTCTCCAAGGGACCTCCTGCTCCACCCCTTCCCAGGCCTAACGCCTGTGGCCAAGGCATTAGGCCTGGGCAGGGGACCCCAAGCTCCCACCATCAGCGACTGTGCCCCTGCTCCCCATGATCGCTGGCACTGCTCCTGCCCAGGCCTAATGCCTCTGGCCAAGGCATTAGGCCCGGGCAAGGGACCCCCGCAGCTGCATCCTCCCCCGATCGTGGGCTCCGACCCTGCCCGGGCCTTACGCCTCTGGCCTAGACGTTGGGCCCGGGCAGCGGGGACCCCAGCTGCAGCCGTCCCTGCCCAGGCCTTTCGCCTCTGGCTGAGCCGTTAGGCCCAGGCAGGGGACACCCCAAGCTGCAGCCACCCCTGATCGTGGGCTCCGCCCCTGCCCGGGCCTTACGCCTCTGGCCGAGGTGTTAGGCCCGGGCAGGGGATCCTCGCTGCAGCCGCCCCCCCCCCCCATCGGGGGCTCCGGCCCTGCCTGAGCCTAACGCCTCTGGCCGACGTTAGATCCGGGCAGGGGACCCCCCAAGCTGCAGCCGCCCCCCGATCGTGAGCTCCGCCCCTTCCCGGGCCTAACGCCTTTGGCTGAGGCGTTAGGCAAGGGCAGCGGGGAGCCAAGCTGCAGCTGCCCCCCGATCGTGCGCTCCGCCCTGACCGGGCCTTTCGCCTCTGGCCGAGGCGTTAGGCCCAGGCAGGGGACCCCCCCAGCTGCAGCCACCCCCCGATCGTGAGCTCCGCCCCTTCCCGGGCCTAACGCCTTTGGCTGAGGCGTTAGGCAAGGGCAGCGGGGAGCCCAAGCTGCAGCTGCCCCCGGGTCGTGCGCTCCGCCCCTGCCCGGGCCTTTCGCCTCTGGCCGAGGCGTTAGGCCAGGGCAGCGGGGACCCCCAGCTGCAGCCGCCCCCCCACCCAGCTCAACCACTCCCTGATAGTGGGCTCCGGGCAGCGGAGACCAACAGCTTCAGCCACCCCACGATCGTGGGCTCCGCCCCTGCCCAGCTCCCATCACTGGCTCCACCCCTACTTCCCACTATCACTGGCCAGTGCGGCAAAGGCCAGGATTCTCCGATCATGGCTGGGGGGCAGGGCAAAGGTGGCCCTGGGGGCCGCCTTTGCCCTGCCCCCCGGCTCTTAGCTCCCCCCTGGGTTTCCGATCACTGTCAGTGCCAGGGGGCTTCTTCGGTGCTTTCCCTTTTGCCTCCCTGCATTGTGCCTACATATGCAAATTAACCGCCATCTTTGTTGACAGTTAACCGCCATCTTGGCTGGTGATTAATTTGCATATCTCGCTAATTAGCCAATGGGAAGGGTAGCGGTCGTACGCCAATTACCATGTTTCTCTTTTATTAGTATAGATTTAAGATGTTTTCCCCCTTTTGCCCCCTCTACCCAGCTCTTGCCCCCCACTTCTCTCTGGCCATCACCATACTGTTGTCTGTGTCCATGGGTTGTGCATATATTTTCTTTGGCTAATCCCTTCTTTAAATTCACTTCTTTTAATTTTTATTTTCAGATAAGTGCTTATAACTGCACTATTATATATTTTCTATTATATCATTTAGAATTAAGATATTTTTTAATTGAACCCTTGTAAATTTTAGCACAATTTGATAAATTATGCTAGAAGCAATTAGGAGATTTTTCATGTAATGCAGATACATTTCAGTATTTTATTAATTTTGAATTTTTTAATATTTTAATTTGAAATAATCTCATACATGTAAAAAAAACTATGAAATACTACAGCATATTATATGTACCCTTCACCCAATTTCTTAGGTGTTAATAATTTAAACATAACCATTATACAACTAACAAAATTGGAATATATTTTTCTTATAATCTCTTTAATGTTACTTAATCCATTTACTTTGTTTTTGTTAATCTTCACCCAAGGATATTTTTCCATTGAATTTTAGAGAAAGTGAAGGGAAAGGGAGAGACACATTGATTGGTTGCCTCCTGCACATGCTTTGATAGGGACTGGGGATCAAGCCAACAACTAAGGTACATGCCCTTGACTGGAATTGAACCTGGGACCCTTCAGTCCACGGGCTAATGCTCTAATCACTGAGCAAAACAGGCAGCAGCTTAATTCATTTACTTTTAATCTATATGTGTCTTTATATTTAAAGTGGGTTTTGTTTTTGATTCACCCTCATAATCTGTCTTTTAATTGGTGCATTTATGCCACTGACTTTCAGAGTGCTTACTGAAAGAATTACTACCATATCAGGTGGCTCCTGGGGGCTTCTGGGGCAAGGCAAGGCGGGCTGGCCTGCCCTGGATGGCGGTGTGCTGGCGACTCACGCTGTTCCACCCTGCCTGCAGTATGCAAATTAGCCGCCATCTTTGTTGGCAGTTAATTTGCATATTGTGCTGATTAGCCAATGGGAGGCGTAGCGAAGGTATGGTCAATTACCATGTTTGTCTATTATTAGATAGGATATGAATTTAGTGAAATATATATTGTGGTCCAGTGTTATCTGTCTTTAGAAAAGACATAGAAGGGCATATACCAAAATGTTTATAATAGTTACTTTAGGGTGGTTGGATTATACTGCATTTCCTTTTTATGTTCTTGTTTTCTAAATTTTCTACATTAAATGTACACTGATTTTATAATTAGAAAAAATAACTGGTATACAAATGAGCACTGGCAATTAGAAAAAAAAGGTTTAAAGTTCTCACGTGTATATTATGTTTTTAAACCCTAGTCATCATTCCCAGGATTGAACGCACCCTTGCTTATATCATTGCAGAGCTGGATGAGAGAGAGCGAGAAGAATTCTATAGGTTTGTTGGAATTGGCAGTTATTGATCATTTTCTGTTTTCCATATTCCAGTGTCTCTATTTGCTGAGAAATTTGTTGGCGTCTGTTCTTTAGAATTAGCATAGCTTGCATTTTACTCTGATTTGTAAGAAGCAAGAAATAATATTGCCAAAGGCTGTGAGGACAGATCTATGCCAAGTTTTGCACATACATAAAACAGCAATCTCCAAAAGCTTTGGTCAGAGGAGCTATTAATAGACTTGGTTATTTTAAAAAGTGAAACTGATTTATGGGGGTGTCTGTCTCCCATATAAAAAGAAACTGGATTAATCAATCAGTATGTATTACATGTTGACTATGTTCCAGAAGGGGACATCACATAATAGTGTAAACCATACCATTAGAGAATTGGTGCAGTACTTGGAGAGAAATGCACGTATATAATTGGTTATGAACATTCAGAGCTTGTAGGGTCAATAAATACTAAGTAGGTGGGGTATAGGGTCAGTGTTCCAGGTTCTGAAGTGGGAGACAGATGAAGGCAGGCATATTCAGGGAAGACACGGCCCTCTTAACTCTGAGCAGCGTCTGAGTATGATTTATAATCTTAATTATCAGTTTATTTAGTTCTGTCCTTCAGTAATGTTTAGGGTTGTGGTGAGCCAAATGGAATGATACAGAATTTTAATAAATGCCTAAATGCTCAAAATCTGTTCCAATATCAGGAAATAGATTTCAAAGTTTATTCACCTTGGGAATAGGAGTTTTTGAAATCAGTTATTAGCTTAAAATATGTGTATCCTACCTCAAATCTTCTTTTAATGGGCTGTCTTTTAATTGGTGCATTTATGCCACTGACTTTCAGAGTGCTTACTGATAGAATTACTACCATATCAGGCGGCTTCTGATTCAATTCCAATTGGAATTTAATTTCAATTACTAAAATTGAAATTAAAATAAAGTTTTGTTCTAGTTTGTGCTTATTATCCTTGTTACAAAACTAGAAGAAAGCAAATCTACTTAGTACTGAAATAGCATTCAGAAAAACCCTTTACTTTACAGGTTAAAGAAAATACAGGAGAAGAAAAAGATTCTCAAGGAAAAAACTGAGAGGGAATTGGAGAAACGGAAGGTAGCTGGAGAGGTGACGGAGCCTGCCAATCTTCTGGCTGAAGAGAAGGATGAGGATCTTCTGTTTGAGTAATCTTGCCTGCTCTGGTTCTTCTTGCCTGCTCTCGTTCTGTTCTTTCAGAAGTCCTGACGTGACATCATTTTAGTTCAGTGTGTAGGTTTGGTTCGTGTGGTTGTTTATTTTTTGGTCTAATTTCACTGGTTGTAAAACTTCTCTGGATGTCCATTTATGGGTTACTTTTGCAGAATCCTAATTTACCAACCATTGATCACAGATGAGATTTAGAGAACCTGCCTAGGAAATTGTAGAATTTATTCTGCAGAAGTGTCACCCTACCCCAATTATAAATGGTTACAAGTGATCGGCTTACCAAGCATATTAGGAAATTCCCCTTAGGAACCACAGTGGTCTCAGGCCAATACAAGGAGGCCAGCTACTGTAGGAACAACCCTCCATTCCTACCCACCCACACCCCTGGCGCTGCTGTCTGACATAGCTGCAGCCATCCTGTGTTTCTGTGGTACTTCTCCAGCTCTAGGAAAGCCTTCCCTTAATTTACCTTGCATGACAGGTCTCTGTTTGTTCTCTCTGTCATGGAACAGTTGTGCCAATTTGCATGTGACTGTGGTATAAACAGTAAAATGATTAAAAAGAAATTAAGGAAACAGAACTTAATATCTGTGCCGGTAGGGAGTATTCCTCTATGGTGAAGAATAAGTTAAAAGATGTGTGTGTTTCACCCAGAGGTTCCAATGGACTGACTTCTGGCACAAATGTAAAGACAGGATGGTCGTTAGATATGCTGAAACCTTAAATGGCAGAGGATATAAATAAAGCAAAAAAAGTACTTGGTGGCTTTTTTTTTTATTTGAAATATAATTTTACTTTTTATTTTTACAATACAGTGTGCAGTATAACATCTCAAAATAATAGAGTGCAGATACAGGACAAGAGTACAGAGGATTAACAATGTCAGAAAGGTCACCTTATTAAGGCTAAATCCCTGGTTCATATTTTCACACATTCATAAAATTACATTCAAATTATTCCTTATTGATACTTATTCCTTATGCCATGAGAAAAGGGAAAAAAATCCAGACATTAGATTTTCATAGATAGCAAATCTGGATTAGTCTAAATACTGTTCTCCTTTTCGTTTGTTCTGACTTAAGATTTACTAAAGGGAGATATTTCCTTATTTGAATAGCACGTGCATTTTATTAGCTATTGGTATCATTCCTATAAGTGGTTAAGACCTCCCCCACTCTGGGGTCTACAATCAGAACCACAGGGGACAGGAAATGGAACTGGCCACAGTGGCTGGTGTACAGCAAGCGTTTCCATTTTCTTTCAAGGAAGTTAGCAACAACTCAGTGTTCACTTTGCTTAGGGACTGTGTTAACTATCAGCACATCCAGATCACTGGGCGAAGCGTTTCTATACCTCTACCATTGCTGATGAGGAAAGAACTGTAAGACTTCATCGACCCCCAAAATATCTCGTCACTTTAGACTTCCTAAAGCATACTATGGGATGGCACGTACCCTGGTTTGGGATTTGCTTGTTAAAGCCATATCTGAGTCTTGCTAGCACATGGCATATGTGCATCGACGGTCTGCAGATTAACTCGGGGAATGAAACAGCCACTGACTGACACTACCTGAAATCTCATTCTAATGCAATTCAAGCTGCCACCATTTTAGATCTTGGGGTTAAAAACAGTTGTCAGTTATGATAAGCACCTCATAAAACTCCACTGTCTACCACTGACTGCCTTTCATTCCCGAGGAGAAAAACTGCAAGACTGAGAAGATGAAGTGCTTATATTCCTTGGTTTCCAATGCTAAACATCAGTGTGAGCTTTGCATTTCCTTCTATAAACTTGGAGTGTTTCAGACCTGAAGAGACAGTGTGTATGGCATTCCTTCTCTTAACCCAGGATGTTTCTTCCTAATGAACATCTTGAATTTCCACATAAGACACACACTGCAGCCAACTTCAACACCATGCAAATTTGAACAGAAAAAGGCAACGTATAAACTGTACATTTGTTCAAATAAATGTAGACAAAAAATCAAATATACATATGACACAAACTACCCATTAAAAACTGCTTACATTAAATTAAGTGACAATTCAATATTATTCCAGTGTTTAGCTTTGAGAACAGGAAATGTAGCTAAAGTCATCACAAAAATAAAACGACATTCACATTTGAGGTTGTTTGTCACACATCACACCATCCCTAAAGGCTTGAAAAGACTACAAATCAACTTTCCATGCCAGTGTGAAAATCCCCTTAGTTTAAACATTTATGATTTAACAAGCTATTGCATTATGGTCCTAAGAGACAGATGTTGTTAGGACAAAGGCCTCTATATATGTTTAACTTCCCCCACCCCCACCCATGTTCCTTTCCTTAAAATGTCAAATGACTTTCAGGTCATTCTTTCCTTCTGATCTCAAAGTCAATTGTCAGAGTATTTCCCTCAGATATAATTTTAGTCCAATCTGAACAAGTGTTGTGTTAACAACCATTTGTCAATCTATTAAATATTAGTATACAGTACAGCAGCTATATTCATCACAGAATTCCAGTTTATTACCTGTATATATAGCACAGTCATCAAATTATACTGTGCTCCTATATAAAAAATGCAAAAACTGTCAAAGGTGCTATGTCCTTTCATGTATATAAAAAACTTCATTATGAGAAACTTTAACAATCAACACAGTTTATATGAACATCTGCCATTCATAAAAATGTAACTTACACATTCTGTTGTACTATGCAGATCAGAGAAAGGAAGCAAGGTTATCAAATCAGTTGTGACAACTTAAGGAAAATTCAAAAAATCATATCTTTAAAAAGATCATCATGCGCTTAACTAGATCAGAGTCTGTAGTAAAGTCCAATCCACAAAGCTTGAGCTAAAAATTGGTGCTTCTAACGGAATGTTTTTCAAGAATTAAAACAAGTGAATTCAAGTCTACGAGTAGCTCCAGACCAAAGTGGCACCTTAAAAAATATTTTAATCACTCTAAACTATTTAATGTATTTTTTGTAGTGAGTTCTCGAAATCTGGTGTGTATATACTTTCAGCACAAAAAATTTTTAAGGATAGTATTTCTGATGACTAAATCAGTACACAGAAGCACAGTCCCTACCCACCCCCCAATTCCCATGAAGTCATTTAAGTTAACTGTTAAATAACATTAATATTTGTAACTATGTGAGACATGGGCTGCTGAGTATATACACACACGTTTTTCATGGAACTATGCCTAGGCAGAAAAGATTTAAGTGAAAACGAAAGGTTTTTACATGGATAAAACCTTTGAAAGCTTCCATTTAGAATCCCCAAATGAGGCAAGAACCAAAAGCCATAGGGAATAAAGACTGCTGTGCACAAATTAGCTATGGGGATTTTCTTCTCACTAGTTTGAGATCTAGCAACAGGCCTACATTGCGTGCCACCTTACCCTCACAGTCTTGCTGAAGTATCAGGTTTACCTTCATACTGACAGTGCCAGATCAAGTCCAATCATGCCACAGATGGATGTTTCCTTCACCTCAGCCAAGTGGACGGCACCCACTGAGGTTCAGTATCAAGTTTGTTAATTAACCTAAGTAATTCCTGATAGGCTTTATCAAGATCTGAATTCACAATTGCCGTGTCAAAGTAGTGACCATTGTTCTGCTCCATTTCTCTAGTTTTCTCAATGATTTCTCTCAACTCTTCTGGCTGTAAAGAGTAGATAAAAAGTGTGAAGTTAATGCCTTACCAAAGGTGGCCAAGGAACAAGTAAACTGCTTTCCTTCTCTCAAAATACTCCACCTCAGGAGCTCCTTCCCAGCCTTGTCATGCCCACAATGACTTCCTTTGCTCTTCTGGCATCTTCAGGACTCACACTGTGAGTCATTTGAGATGCAATATAATCTATTTATACTGTGATTTAGGTTTTCATATGTTTCTGTCTTATCTCACCCATAAGACTTCAAGAGCAAAGATGAGTTCCTCACAGACATTCATTTTAAAATGTTTTAGGGCATCCTAACCTCTTCCTAAAAAGAACATCTTCTGTAACACCGAGTGAACCTTTATGGGTGGAGCAAGAGTGGCAGGACCCAAAGCGCCATCTATTCTTGGCTCTTATAGAGCCCCTGTTCTTTATTGCAGAGTAGGCAAGTTAAACATCTTATTGGAAAAGCAAAGGATCAATAGAATGGGTATCTTTTTTAATGAAAATATTGCTGGTCAACCCAAGATTTAATAATTGAATACAGGTGACTCTTGAACAACATAGGTTTCAACTGCACAGGTCTACTTACAGGCAGATTTTTTTCAATAAGTATCTGTATAACTGTTTTCGATCCGAGGTTGGGAGTCTGCGTATATGGAGGGCCAATTGATCTACACCATTTTATACAGGGCACTTGAGCATCTTCGGATTTTGGTATCCACTAGGGGTCCTGAAGCCAATCCCCCACATGTAGCTAAGTACATACTCAACTTAATATGTTAAATTTCTACTTTGTTTTCAATACACAAAGGTCTTTAAGATGCAAAAACTATACTAAGAAGAGTCTGGGAAACAACACAGAGCAGGCTACTTTCAAATACTGGGTAAGGGAAACAACTATTTCACATAGACAAGCAGGTGGCAAGGCTGTGTGCCTCTGATTATCAGGCACAATTGTTCAAGAAAGTGAAACTGCCTCCAAACCACCCCTGTCAATAAAGAAAACTAAACTCAAGTCCAAATGTGTGATATAAAAGTTACCCACTATATTGGACCCATAATACAAAACTAGTTATATCATTTAGCTGGTTGAACTTCTGTAACAGCAGGAAAACATATTAAAAGTCTGACAGCTCTGGCTTGTCCTGAGGCAGTGGCTTGTGTAGCTCTCTCATTTTCATTCTGGAATGTTGTGCATCTGGCTGTGGTACACAGAATCCTTTGTTCCCTAACAAGGACTCTGCTACACTATTGTAACTAAACACACTGACATTCTTGCTGAAACTTATGTGTACTCAAAGCTTAAGATTATTGAAAGAACATTCCAGAACTCAAAACAAAATATAAACTTTCTGGTGCTAGAGTTGAAATGTAAATGTTAAACCTAAAATCTTACATAGATTCATATGAATATCCAATCTACCTAGTTTTTATCAAATTTAAGGCATTATTTAATCTTTTCCCAAAAATGGCTTTTATATCACTTATTTTGTTTTAATTTCCTCTTATTTTTCAAATTATAATTCATGACTAAAATGAAAGAAAATGTTTTTGCTCAAAATTAGCCTATAGGGAAAGTGACTAAGTTCAGACTATCAGTTTGCCACTCTCAAGGCCCCCTTTAGCAGAACAGATTCTGAGATTCAAAGTACAATCAATTGATTTTTTACATTCTGTACCCAGAGAAACACCATCACTTTCCTAGCTAGCACAATTTCATTCACTTAAAAGTGAGGATTTGCTTTTATTCAACACTTCTATTTTGTGAGTGATAAAGCACTATTGGAAATACCAAAGGAGATAAAAATAAAACATAAATGAAATTAAAAGGCAACAAATACATCACCCTCTATCCAACAAATACAGAATATATATTCTTACTAGTGTGTATGGAACATACACCAGTACAGAACACAAGTTGGACCATAAAATAAGGTTCAACAAATTTGAAAGACTGATATCTTACAGAGTATGTTCTTTGACCACAATGGAATTATAAATCAATAAAATATTTTTTGAAATCTCCAAACAGGTGGAAATTATATACTTCTAACAACCTATGGGCTAAAGAAGAAAATGACATAGAGAATTAGAAAGTATTTTAACAAAATAATAATGAAAAATATAACCTCAAATTCTATAGGACACAACACTAAAGAACTGCTGAGAGAAATTTGTAGCTTCATATTAGAAAAGGAGATTTAAAACTCATCTACTGAAGACAGCAGAGCAAGTACAAATTAATGCAAATTACAACAAAAGAATAAAAATAAGACGTCAATTAAATAGAAAACAGACAAAAAATAAAGAAAATTAACAAAGACAAAAGTACTCTGATTTAGTTCTTTTCTAAAGGGTTTCGCTCATTCCTTTTAATTTCCATATAATTTTAAAAATACATATTTTATTGATTTTTTAAGAGAGGAAGGGAGAGAGATAGAGAGTCAGAAACATCAATGAGAAACATCGATCAGCTGCCTCCTGCACACCCCCCACTGGGGATGTGCCCACAACCAAGCCACACGCCCCCAACCGGAATCGAACCTGGGACCCCTCAGTCCACAGGCCGACCCTCCATCCACTGAGCCAAACCGGTCAGGGCTCCATATAAATTTTAAAATCTTTTCAATTTCTACAATAAAGCCTGCTGAGATTTTTTGAAATGGTAACAGATTTCTTGATATATATAGTCACAGAGTTGTGCAATCAACACCACAATTCAATTTCAGAACATTTTCATCACTCCCCATCCCCACCCCCCAAAAAACTATACCCATTAGCAGCCACTCCCCATATTCTACCACCCCCAGCCCTAGGCAACCACTAATCTACTTTCGGTCTCTATAGAGTTGTCTATTCTGGGCATTCCATAAAATGGAATCATACACTATATGGTCTATGTTATACTATGTATCACTTCATTCCTTTTTATGACTGTTTCCCAAGACTTAAAATAAAGCTACAGTATTCAGTGCAATATTAGCATAAATATGTGAATCGAGTCCAGAAATAATCTATAATCTCCCCTGAAACCCTCCTCCCTGATCCTCCCCCCTCCCCCCCTGCCAATATATGTGGTCATTTTCTTTTTACAAAAGTGCCAATGTAATTCAATGGGAAAAAGGATAGTTGTTGTTTTTTTTCTTCAAGAAATGATTCTACAGCAAGTGGATAGCCACATGTGATTTAAGAAACAAAACAAAAAGCCAATCTCCACTCTTGCCTCACACTAAAACAGAGATGAACCTGAGATAGATCACAGAACTAAAAGTAAAAGCTAACACAAGAAAGTTTTTAGAAGAAACCAAAGGATAAAATCTTCATAACCTGGAGTAGACAATTTTTTTTAGTATAAGAAAATCATTAACTATAAGAAAAATGAAAAAAGTGTACTTCATTAAGATTAAACATTTCTGATCTTGAAAAAAATTAAAAAGATACAAAGACTGAGAAAATATTTATATACAGATATAGAGAATAAGAAAAATAACAATTAAAAAATAAGACTTGAGGCATTTCACAAAAGAACATGCCTAAACGATTATGTGAAAAGATGCTATCAGTCAACAGGAAAATGTATAATGATAACACTTCACACCTACTAGAACTAAAATACTGCTACATACAATAGTAAAAGTTGGTAAAAATGTGGAGCCAATGGAACCAAAGTGAGAGCATAAAATGGCAAAATGTTTTTAACACAATTTGGCAGTTTTTATACAGTCAAACAGGCATGTAGCATCTGATGCAATTCAAGAGGATGAAAACATGTCTACCAAACGACTATGAATGTTTAGGGCAGCTTTGGTCACACTAGCTAAAAATTGGAAACCACCCAAATATTTTTAACTGGTAAATGGACAAATTGTAATATATTTAGATCATCTCTATATATAAAAGCCTAAGCGACCATCACAACTGAACGGAAGACCAAACAGGCTATGTGGGGTGACCAGGCTGGCAGGGGCGTTAGTGAGGAACAACCAAATGACTGAGCAGCAGGCTGCAAAGATGGCGGCGCCCACAGCCAATAAGGAGGGAATATGCTAACTGACTGCCATGCCCTCAAAGATGGCGGTGCCCACAGCCACAAGATGGCTGGCAGGGGAGGGCAGTTGGGGGCAACCAGGCCAACAGGGGAGGACAGTTGGGGGTGACCAGGCCAATAGGGGAGGGCAGTTAGGGGCAAGCAGGCCAGCAGGAGAGGGCAGTTGGGGGCGACCAGGTCGGCAGGGAAGGGCAGTTAGGGGCAACCAGGCTGGCAGGGGAGGGCAGTTGGGGGCCATCGGGCTGGCAGGGGAGCAGTTAGGCGTCGATCAGGCTGGCAGGGTAGTGGTTAGGGGGTGATCAGGCTGGCAGGCAGAAGCGGTTAGGGGCAGGCACGCAGGCAGGTGAGCAGTCAGACATCCCCCGAGGGGGTCCCAGATTGGAGAGGGTGCAGATTGGGCTGAGGGACAACCCCCCCACTGCACAAATTTCGTGCACCGGGCCTCTAGTGGTATATATAGCACTTAGCAATAGAAGATATGAACTACTGTTAGATGCAATATAGATCAATATCAAAACATTATGCTGATTTAGAGCCAGATGCAAACTTAAACATACTGTGTGGTCCCATTTATATTAACTTCAAGAACAGACAAAACAAATCTATAGTGACATAAAGCAGATTAGTGGTTGCCTTGGGAAGACTGCAGAGGTATTAACTTAAAAGGAGCATGAGAGAATTTTTTGGAGTGATGAAAATGTTCTAAATCTTGATTGGCATGGTAGTAGCACAGGTATGTGTTTTGCCAAAACTCACTGAATTATACAAGTAAAATGTATGCATTTTATTTATGTACAGTAACTTCAATAAAGTTGATTTTTAAAAATCAGAAAATTCTAATTAGAAAATCAAGCATATTGTATACCATTAAAACATGTTGGTACTGATTAAGTCCATGCTTTAAAAATAGGTATAATTGGTATCTTTCTAGACTTCACTCAAATTAGGATGGCTAATTCAAAATAAAGTAGGTAAAAAATTCCATGAGAGCACTGCCAGAGAACACTAACCAAAAGAAAGTTGCTTACCATGTTTTGGACTGGTGTATGGCCTTTGGTACAACATTAAATCCTTGTTGAAGAAGAATAACCTAACTAAAAAAGAGCGTGCATGCTCGAAACAGAATAAGGCTGAACAAGCAGAATGGAGTTCACTGGTCCTTAAGGTGCGTCCCTTTCCTTTTCTTGTTTACCAAAGTAGTTACTGGGCACTAAGTTTCATAGAGGATTAACCTTATTTTTCTTATTATATGTTGTGATCCTCCTCAAAAATAGCAAGTGACCATGTTTCATATTTCTTGTGTATCATCCCAAGTGCTAAGGACACTCTGATCCCACTTACTTATGAACTTATAATTGTGCTGCAAAAAATAAAGAAGGGGTGAAACACTACTTTAACCAGCTAGTCTACTTAGCTTAAACATTATGTTCAACATATAGGATGGGGAAATCCCTGATGTCTATAGCCTAAACTGTGGTCGGCAAACTCATTAGTCAACAGAGCCAAATATCAACAGTACAACGATTGAAATTTCTTTTGAGAGCCAAATTTTTTAAACTTAAACTATATAGGTAGGTACATTGTTATTAACTTAGTTAGGGTACTCCTAAGGCTTAGGAAGAGCCACACTCAAGGGGCCAAAGAGCTGCATGTGGCTCGCGAGCCGCAGTTTGCCGACCACGGGCCTAAGACATTGAAAAATACTAGCTTCACATATATACAGACTAAGAAATGTAAGTAGACCTAGAGTGAAAAAGTGTATCTTGAGGTAGGAGGGTTGCTGGCTGTGGTAAAGTCAAGAATTGAAGGAAAAGCGTGTTGTTATATGCTTTGAATAACTTTCAAGGAAGAGCATTATTACATGTTTTTATGGCTTTTAAGGAGAGTTAGGGGCATAGCAAATGAAATAAGTGACTCCACTATTAAATAGAAATATTATAAAAATCAGAAAAAAACAAGGAAGAGTAAATATTTGTTACTTTGACAAAGTAATCCACATGATAGTTTTTAGTTCACACATTTAAATAAAAAGCCAATGCTTTCTGATTACCAGTATACTATCACTAAATTATTAATGTTTAGTATATAATAGACTACCTCAAACATGTCCAGCATCTAAAATAATTTTAAAAATTTTCCATTTCAGATCATGTAAGAAGATCAAAGGGAGGAGCCAAAGAGAATATAAAGTTTCAATGAGAAAAAAGAGAAAAACAAGGGCACTCAATGTTGGCTCCCCACACATGCAGAATATCTACGGAGAACAGTGGGCAATCCCTAAGAATATGATGATCCCTTTTTGTGTGTCTTAGAGGTATCACATAATCCCTGCTGGAAATACACACATCCATGTGAAGATCAAGGAAGTGTTAAGGAAAGCCAAATCTGACCATACATTTGGGGTACAATAGGGAATGTGTGGGGAAGAACAAGAGAAGCCACCTTCTTTGGAGAGCTGCACAGTCTAACCAGAGGCAACCATGGCAATATGGGGGAAAGTGATATGACAGAAAGAATAATCACTTTGAAAGCTCAAGCTGATGTAGTTTTTAAGTACTGTGACATAATAGGCCACGAGCGTTTCATGTTTACTTTTAGTGGAATAGTACAACAATATATAAAACTCTACCTTTGGATTCTTGCCCTCTTTGGCCAACAATGCCCGAAGTCTTTCTTGTGAAGGGGGGGCAATAAAAATAATATATGGTTTCAAGTCTGAATTCCGGAGAGTCCTCAATGACTGAAAAGAAAAGATATTTTGGATCTTTAAAGTAATTGTCATGATTTAACTACTTCCCAATAATAGACTTGGAATATAATGTCATAAACAACAATAACAACATAACCTATGAGTGTTTCCAAACATCTTTGTAACAAAAAATTCACAATATTTTAAGATCCTACCATTCACTGTAAAAATATATTGTGTACCTATAAAATCACACACACAAACACACACTATTGGCTCACTCTTTTTATGTAATGAAATAAAAATGAATGACTAAAGGATTACAACTATGTAATGTTAAAATACCCTGCTTTAAGATCACACGCAGATTATAACAACCATATTAAAAATCCATTTTAGAGAAACTAGAAATGAGCAGTCACTTTACAATGTGGCAGGGTCTAAAGGAAGCACAAACTGAGAGAAAAACTTCACACACACACGCGCGCACACACACACACACACACACACACACAATTTTGGAAAAGCACACCCTAGAAAAGGAGACTATCTGAATTGGGAGGTGTGGCTTTCTTTTTTTTTTTTAAAATTTTTTAAAAATCCTCACCTGAGGACATTTTTCCATTGATTTTTAGCGAGAGTGTAAGAGAGAGGGAAAGAAAGAGAAATATCCATGTGAGAGAGACACATCGATTGGTTGCTTCCTCACAAGCCCCGAACAGGGTCTGGGCCGGGGAGAAGCCTGCAACCAAGGTATGTGCCCTTGACCGGAATCAAACCTGGAACTCTTTGGTCCACAGGCGGAAGCTCTATCCACTGAGCCAAACCAGCTATGGCGGGAGGTGTGGCTTTCACCTTGCCTTTGCCACCACATGACAGTGTGCCATCAACTGAAGCACTCCATCAAAATGGGAATTACAGGGACATACCCCCCTTTTATTAACCTAAAAACATTAAGACAATATGTTTAACTTCTCAATGTTCTTTGGTACATCTGCTGGCACAAATAATATAAGAATTCTGAAGGAGTTTAGTAAAAACATTTATACTTCTCTCAAATGTTTACAATTGAAATAGTAGACTAAACTCTTTTATCTACTAAAAAAAAAACCACAAAGAAAATCTAATTATTATTTCAAGAGAGTCATTTTATTTATCTTCATTATTATTATTTTGCAATCCTCATTAGAGGGTATGTTTTTATTGATTTTTTTAGAGAGAGAGAAAGGGAGAGAAAGAGCTAAACATTGAGTGGTTGCTTCCTGTATGTACCCTGAATGGGAACTGAACTCATAACCTTTTGGTGTATGGGACAACACTCCAAGGGAACCATTTTAGAGTCAATTTCCTTTCCTATACATCTATTTATTAACCACTGCTTATAGTTCCTGAGTTGACATACTCAGTAGATTCATTAAGTTTTAGCCTGAAGCTGTCTAGTCTAGAAAAACTTTTCCACAACGAACAATCTTAAAAATCCCAAATCTCTAAGTTACTGTACTAAATTTTAGAAAATATGTACATGTATATGTGTAGGTATGTATGTATGTGACTCTGAGGAAATCGAGATTTAGCAATCTGTCTGATTTCAGGTAGGGAGTCAGTGGGGAAAAGCTGTATAAGAACTTAATTATGTCCCGTGGTTCTTGGACCAAAATATAGTTTCCACTAAATTACTTTGCAAAAAAAATGCCCTCAAGTTCAACACCCTAAACCAAAACAGCTTTACCTGTGTACGAAGACTTAAAAGACATATTTTCCCAGAGTTGATCACTTGCCGTACAGAATCTATGCTGGTTCCATACAGATTTTTCTCAAATTCACCATGCTCAATGAACTTTCCAGCTGCTATGTCTGCTTCGAATGCTTGCCGAGAAACAAAGTGGTAATCTCTACCAGCTACTTCGTGGTCTCGCCTATTGCGAGTTGTATCTAGACAGACAAATTCAGGTAAAAATAATTGGTATTGATCATGGTAAGGATGGAGGGTAATTTTGCTAATCAGAAAAAAGTTTTATTTCATAATACAGATTATAAAATAATGAACTGAGGAAATGTTAAGAGCCCCGTGTTTAATTTAACACTGGTTTTATTTCTAGATTGAGAAATGAACAAAAATTTGTTTTTCGTGTGCTATTAATAGTTATATTAATAACAATATATTTTATGTTTACACTTTAAATTACTTCATCTTGCATTTAAAACACTACTATTCACCTTTTCTGAAGTTTACTTAGGTGCTATATAAGGTACCATATAATTTTAAAACAGAACTTCTGTGTTCAGAGATTTGTCTAAATTTCTATCTTCTCCATCAGTTGTTGAAACCAGATGATTCCATATTGAACAGGGTATTATAAGAAGTGCAAAATGAAATTCATTTAGAAAGTGATCAGTACCATATTCTTAGGAAAATTGAAATTTCTCAAGAAGATCTGGTTAAAACAGTTTTTCTTTCCTGGACAACAATGTTTTGATAAAATGAATGAAAAATTGCCCATGTAAGTTAGATTCTAAAGCGGTGAACTGAAAAGCACAGGAAAACGGGAATGCATCCAAACTTACGAGGAACTGCAGCTGCAAAGCGGTCTTTCTCTTTGTTCATGAGCCTCTGACGTAATTCATTCTGGCCACAGTTCTGTGGACCAATCAAAATGATAGGTCTTTTCCTATTTGCTGGCTGATGATAAAGTGACATTTCCTCATAAGTTAAGATTTCTTCATTGTCATAGTCTTTAGAAAAAGAAAAAGTTAAGCTCTTTAGACAGAATTATTGCTATGTAATAAATATACACTCATAGATCTTCCGAAAAAAACTGAAAAGAGCACAATTTATTATTAAAAACACTTAACTTTTGGGATCAAGATAGTATTATATCACGAGTATTTTCCCCTGTCATTATAGCCTTTCCAGGATACTATGAAAATAAATCAGACAATATATGAATCATTCTAGAAATTTCTATTGCTTCTCTTATTTCAGCCTGAATGTTTAATATAATATCACAATACTGATCCTTATGTAAAATAGCTAGTTTGCAGCCAGTACTTTTATGGGGGAGGGGGGGACGCACCAGGTGATAAACTAATGAGAATAACATCTACCATTTTTGTAAAATGATGTTACTAACACATTATTTAGAGGGTTGGTTTAAGGATCAGACGTAATGTGCATGCTGAGCACAATACGTGGCATGAACATTCAAAATAGTGGCTACAACCAGAGATATCAGAGAAAGCTGGAATACTTTTCTGAGATTATATAACTTGCCATCACACTTCCTGCTTTTATATTTACTTTGTTCTGGAATACTTGAGGTCATGATTCAAGAAGAGGTATAAATTACGATAGGTGGGGTAACATTCCTAAAGCCCATAATTCAGATGAAATCAGAGCTATTAAGCGGTAAGAACAAAGGTAGACAATAGCAGCCTGCCATCTTCTCACGCATACCAGTTTCATCTGACTGGAAAAGAAGGTCAGATGTGTAGTCAGACCCTCCCAGCTGCAAGTTCCATGGGGGCAGGGGACCATCTTAGCTGTGCCAGTGCTTAGCACAGAGCACAGAGTAGGAACTATATTTGCTTAAATTTCAGCTCAACCATATCTTAGTTGTAAGAACTTAAGCTGGTTACTTTAATATCTGAATTTGAATTTATTAATCTGAATGCTCAAGGAATTTATTGTGAGAACTAAATGGATGAAGGTATTGAAAGTATATATAGTTAGCCTCCCTAGAATAAAAGTTATTATAAATGAGTTATTATTAATAAAAATATTAATTATGACAACACCTTCCCTTTCCAAAATACTTTTCACTCTGAAAAACCAGAGTTCCTTCTTCTAACATGTATAATCAGACTGTGGCAGCACTGTGATTTACAGACTTGGTTTATAATCTGTAGGTTTCAGATTTGCAAAATTTCTAGAGTATAATAACTTCATTAGAGCTGAATTAATTTTAGTGCACTTCAAAATATGAAAAACAGATTTAATCACCTTCCCAAATATAGAGTAAAGGATTAAAAATTCAATAAATCTTCTTAGTTACATAAATATAACAAAGCGTTAAGGTTGTTTATTTTGGAAAAAATTTTATTAAAGTAAATAGAATCTCTGATATAGTTTTATATGGAGTTTTTCAACAATCTATAACAGTTTTTTCATTGATTTAACTTATGCTGCCTAAAAAGACTTCAAGGTACTGAGAGAATAAGTCTTACAAATTGTTTAAGAAGTTAAGGATTGCCTTGACTTTATTATTTGGCTTGTTTCTAACATGAACCAAAGCAGAGGTAGAATATCTAATGCCCATACGGACCAACCAAGAAGGTAATGAGAGCAGGAAATCAGGTTTGGTTTATAAAAATTGGATGTTGTGGAAACTGTTAAACTAAGACAGTAGTAGGTGCCCAATATAAAGGCAACAGCCATCATCAGGTACAGCAGAGTGTTGTCACCTGGGAATATGAGTCACATGTTATTAGAGCTTTTGATTTTAAGAGAAGTATCAACTTTAAAATAGAACAAAAAAACTCCATGTACCTGACTCTGCCAGCAGGTAGCAGGCTCTGTGGAATGAGTTGTCTTAGTAACAGGAGTTATTATAGACAAAATATTGTTTACTTAAAATACAGCTATATTGTCAGAATTTGTTAGAAGCATGTATCAATTTCACAAAGAGTTTGAGTAGAAAAAAATTAGAGAAATTTCAATTCTATTTCCTCAAAATTAGAGAAATATCAATATAACACTATATATATTCATTGTACTTTAATTCTTATATCAATTTTTCTCCAAATTCAAAACACTGCATTACTCATAGGATTCTAAAAGAAAATAATTTTTGTTAAATGACTTTCTTAAGCCGTTGTGTCACATTAAGAGGCAAAACAGGACCAGAAACAAAACTACCTGAAAATATCAATTTAATTTCTTTCAAGTGCTAAATATTGGGCCTCTTTCATATATAAATTTAGTTATCTCTGAGAGTGGAACTTACCATCATTTTTATTGGCATTAT